CCACGAATAGAATCTTTTAATTCTACAAATCTAACTAACATGTAATATGTTGAGTTCCATCGTGTCTGAACATCTTGAATTAATTTTTTTGGTTGACTTACACTATTATTAATTTGATACATGTTTAATTTGTTGTTGGCTACTGTACTTTTTCTAAAATATGTAACAATTGCTTTAACATGTTCAATTAAATCACTTTCAAAAGTTAGAGCAGATTGTACAACAAGATTCATTGTATGTGCAAAACATCCCATAGATTTAAATTTTAATAAAGATAATGCATTTTTTATATTATTTGCATTATCAGAGACTGCAAATACTACTTTGTTTTCCAGATCCCATTCTTTAAGTATTTTCTGTATTGTGTCACTTAAATTAATCCCTGTATGACTTATATTAAATTCAAAACACCCAAGGAGAACCGATTTCAATTCAAATTTTGAATCAATAAAATGAATAGTTATGGCCATAAAACTTTCATTGTTGCGAGAAGTCCAACAATCAGTTGTCATGCATACACTTTCAGCTTCTTTTGCAACTAGATCTTTCATTTCAAATAAACATTTTTCGTATAATGCTGGTACATGTACTTTAGATATCGAATGGCGGTCAGGAAGAGTATAGTTTGGGTTCAACAGTTTTACAAACTCTTTAAATCCTTCATCTTCGACTACTTTAAAGGGTTGATAATCTTTTGTAAATAACTTAAGTAGTGCACCATCAATTTGCTTTTTACAATTATTTGTCATTTTTTTAGGTATAAAACTAAACATACTTGTTTGTTTGCGTTTATTTGGTATTTGAACTACACTATTTTCAATAATCTCTAATTGACCTCTAACTACTGACGAATTTGAATGAAAAATAGTGGAAGATGAAGAAGCAATTTGAGTTTGAGATGTAGAAGGCAGTGTAGCAGAGTCATCCGGTTCATCAATATTTCCATTATACAATTCCTTTTAAATATAATAGAAACTACAATTATGTATACTATTTTCGCCTCAAATTTAAAAATCAAAATTGCATATTAATTAAACTTACTTTATTATGTACAATTTGGTTATTTATTTGCTGAGTTGAGCTACAGGTTATCAAATGTTTAGTACATAAATGTTTTTTTAAGTTAGTTAGAGTTGACTTATATGAATATTTTTTCTTACATATACCACATTTTGCAAATTTTTCATCTACAATAGTAAAATGTGACCAAACATTGCTGTAACGGTTTTCCATTTTTATAAAATTAATTAAATTTTTTTTCTTATAATGCTAGAAAATTAAAAATATTGTTGCTTTGTTTGTACTTTATCAGAATATAGTATAATAATAATTTTTTAGTAAATAAATTCAATCAGTTATCATATTTACTATCATAATTTTTGTTTTCATACCACACAACAAAATTTTAACCTAGATATATACAGTTTAGGTTTTTATTAAATTATATTGAAAATTTTTGCGTATTTGCATATTTTTGAAAGTTTTAATTGCTACTAGCCTTGTATACAGTTTATGAGTTATAAAAATTTCAAAATTGCAATTTTTAATTTTCATATACAGTGTTATTTATGCATTTTTCTACCTCCCCTTTTATCCTACAGTTTCAAAAAAAATTGGAATTTTTTTTATCATCTGTATAAATATAAAATCTATATTTTTATGTACTTGTGAACTTTATTATCCTTAATAGGTGTACTGTAAGGATAAAAACAACTGTTCTCTTAGATATTCATGATCTTTTTTTATTTTTAAATAAGTTTTGTCTTAAGATAAAAAAAATCAAACGAGCGGTTTTTGAGATATTACAATTCAAAAAATATGCGGAGAGGAGTAGTGTTTAGAGCGGCACTTTATTTTTACCACGATGCATAGATGACAATTTATTCACTTTGCGAACCTAGCTCATCATCTATTGCTAAAAATTATATTAAATCAAAAACTGCTCGATTGATTTTTTTTATCCACAGACAAAACTTGTTTCCAATTTTTTTTAAATTTTAGAGTAAAAGGGAGGGCAGTAGATTTAATAAATCATTCTATATAATGAGTGATTTAAACCATTCATAGAATATTTTGGCTGAAAAATTATTTAGAAAAAAAAACTGCATACAATATTTAATATTATAAAAGTTAATGAATCGTAGTGTTTTTCGTATCTGAAGAACATACATAATAGGTTTTGCCTATTAGATGTCATCTAATAGATGATAATGTTAGTTATTTATAGACTAAATATTTATTTTACCAGTCTTTTAACATAAAACAATTACATCACTGTTATTTGGAAAGTAACAAATAACAGTTTGTAACAGTTACCAAAATTGATAACAAGTTGCCTACAATACTTTTTACAAATATAACAGTTATATCACTGTTAAAAACAATTTTATAACATTTTCTAAGAAAATAACAGTAACTGTTATTTCGAAAGTAACAATAACAGATTGTAACAGTTATCAAAATTAATAACAGGTTGCCATCACTACTATATGGAATGATGGACAGGGAGTGATTGAAGAGTTCGGTTGTAAAACATCTAAAAGCGCATTCTCTCGGTCATATCGTTGTTTCGTTTGCCCGTATGGCGTCCTCTTAAAGATAATATTAATAGTAACATTGTTTACCATTAAGTATCAACTTTGTTGAGTTTTTTATGAGGATTAATTATTTTATGAAGATTGCTAATCAATTATAATGTACTTAATGTAATTTTATATAACATATATTCAATCTCAAATAAAATGTAGAATGAAAATTTTTAACTGTTATGCAAACATAACAATTTCTTCTAAAAATAAAACAAAAAAGAAAAACAACACAACATAGTAAAAGTAGTGCTTGAATAATATGTAATAAAAAAATTTACATAACCGACACAATGAACAGCATGCATTTGATAAATTCGATCTGCATAACACTACTGGTTAATAAGTAACAAATAGAAAAATAAGACAACCTGGAAGATCTATAAATAGTAATAATTTTAGTTTATTTGAGCAGCAAATTCAAACAACCGGAAAAAAACCAGAAAAATATTTAAAAAAACGGTGACAAATTCATTAATTATTCTTATTTCGTATGACAGATATTTGAGAAAATTATTACTGAGGTCAATTGAGTCTGTTTGTAAAAGCGTCCAACTCAAATAAAAGTTCATAAGTAAACTGACAACGTGTCTATAATAAACGTTCAGAACGTTTTGAACGCTCTGTTTCTTTTAATTATGATGAATTATTAACACAACGTTGCCAGTTTACTTATAAACTTATTGTCCCATTCTACGAGAATGTCTATCTGTAAGATTTCTATCTTACCACCTATTTTTGACCACCGGTTGTGTTCTCTCATGCATCATATTACTCTACTATAAATCTATGGACACTTGAAGTTTGTCCATTCAGTTATTTAAATTCGTATCTCTTACCACCAGACTCGATTGACTTCTGTATTCATTAAAGTAAAAGTTGTTATCGACTCGTCGTTTTCTTAATTAGATAATTTTGTATTTTACAAGCTAGTTAAATGTGTATTTTTTCATGTTAAAAATAAAGTTGGTAGTTTATTCCTAAATTACTTTATTTATTTGGTGCACAAGGGTCTTGCAAATAATTAGACGCGTTTATTGAACAAATTAGCCATCTGGAAAAATGTTGAAAATTATGTTTATAATAATATGAAACAAATTATTTTTAACTTCGATGTGAAACTAATTAAAGTATTTAATTATGCTATAGTGTTTATTTATTTATTATTTGTTTATATTGGCATTATTACTCAGCTTGTATTAATTAATATGATACACTATCAAATTTAAAATAGTATGCTTAGTATATTTGATCTCTTGTAATTTGTTTGTAAATACAACAGAAGTTAATAAAACAAAATAAATTATGCGTATTTTTATGAGTCTTAGAAATTATTTTTTTAAATAAAGCTACAACTCGCTGATAAACAAATTGACATTAAAATACACTTTAATGTATAAAATTACAGGTTTGTTAAAAACGTCTACATCTTTGGATATTATCCCATATATACTCTTGGATTTGTACTCTAGTTATGCCACTGTTGGACAACTAAAGTTTATTTTGGTGTTTAGATGAGATTGTAATACATCATTAAATACTATACTCAACTGTTAATATAAACTAACAATTAGATAATGTAACGTTCAATAAATTTCATCAATTGTCATGTTAGATTAAATACAACAAAATGAAAGTAATCGTGAAATCATAAAGTTTATTTTATACAAAATTGAGAAATATTAAAACAGTTTTTATTTAATTATAATTATATAATATATAATTAATATATAAATATATAATTAAATAATTATATATTTAGAATAATCTTAACAATAATAACATAATATGATAGATCAAATATACTGCCAAATAAAAAATTACACTTAAAAAAATTAAAATTATTCACACTTAAGAATCTTTAAAAGTTAATACTTTCATTATTTTAATGATAGGTTCAATATTTTTTTAGCATGGTCTAGTTTTCTTTATGCTAATTGCCTTCTTAATTTTAATTTAAAATTTTGTCAACTTGAATATTATTATGTCAAAATATACATATTTTATTCGCATGTAAAACAGAGAAACTTATTAAGAAAAAGACTAGTCAATTACAAGTTATAAACAAGGCCATCGTAGATTTAACACTTTTTAAGATCTTGTTGCAGAAAGTGTACTGTAGAAAACATTTCACACTTTAAAAAATTTAATTTTTTTGCCTTCTACGAGTCATTACATAACTAACTAACACATAGTAAATTTATTCATTGATAATTTATGCGTTACTAACACATGGAAAAAATTGTTTATGAGTATTATTTAGTTAGTCTTAGAAGAATCACTTTTGATAGCATAAATTAAACGATTCACTTATTTACAATCTTCTTTCTCTACAAAAATAGTAAATAAAGTATAATAAGCATAGACACATGATCCCCACCATCTGAGTTCACTTGAACTATTGATAATGATTTCTAAATGTGTTTTCACATTGAACATTTGATTTTCTGTGTTTGAATGCATACAGTTAGTTGCATGTTTCAAACAATTCAACGTTTTAAATTCGTTATATTACATGCAAAATTATTTTCAATAATACATAATAAATATGAGCGAAAAAAGAAAAATTGGAATAATTGGCAGGTAATTAATAATTTCTGATTTTTTATACACTTATATATTTTTGAAATAGTAATTTCTTAATGATTTTGTCAAAATAATGTATCTATAAAAATTGTGGTGTAATTTAACTTATAATTATATAAAATTGATTTAAAATTTAAATGTATAAATAAAAATTGATAACTCTAAGTTCGTTTTGAGGGCGTGATCAAAAAAATTCCCACTTTATAAATAATTATATGGTAATGACATAATTTTTTTTTTAATTTTGGTAAACAATTTTTTTTATATCTTTCCCTCAAGGTCAAGACCCTAATTATGTCACTGTGCACAACACTAGATAGATTCAAATGTTGTAAATTTACTTATAAATTTCCAGTCAAGTAAATACATTATTAAAAACGATAATGCTTCAATTTAAAATATATTCCAAGACTTATGGGGCAAATGATAAAATAATATACAATAATATTTGATATAATAACACGTTCATTTTTTACATAAAATCTATGATCTCAGGCAGTATATTATTTAGGGATTTTTTATGGGTGATTTTAGAACTTTCTGAACGTAAAGTATAATAGAGCTTCATCCCATCTTCATCTCTCGCTACCATAATTTTATGTCAATGGGGGAGATTTGGACTCCATGGATCCTCATAATTACGCCACTGATTTCAAGGGGGTGCATAAATCGCTTTCTTTTTAACAACATCACATCTCTAAAAACTCAATTTTTCAGAGGTTATTTGAAAAATTATTTAATTGCTCTCTTAACAGGAGAGCAAATAAAAAGTTGAAATGTATTGAAAATAAATATTTCAATATGAATTCAAGCTTTTAAATGTTAAATTTTTTGTATAATGATTTTATTAAAATATACTACTCTTTAATGACAAAGTGATTACAACTATAACTTAAAAGCTTCATTTTTTGAGTTATGACTTAATTAAAAAGAGTTAGCGAAACCATCGCTTTTAAATACTTCAATGCAATTTCTGGTATAACGAAAGAGATCGGTAAGTTTTCAGCAAGTAAGGAAACAGGTCAATTATTACAACAATGAAAACAATACAAACCCGTTCCCTAGTTACTGAACACTATATAATGAAGACTTCTAAATGTATATTGTGTGGCGTAGCAAAGTTTTTGTTAGCTCAACTATTGTGATTTACAGTTTGATATTTTATTCTGAGACCACTATAGTCGTTTTTTTTTTAGAGAGAGCGGTTCTATTAAGTATTTTATGCCTTTTGGCCGTTGTCCTTTCAGTGCCCACCTCAGTTTAATGAACTATTTCACTGATATAAATGTTATTAATTAAGAAATGTTTTAGTTTCCTTTAACTAATATGCTGTTTGTATTATCAATTCATAATTACATTACATGGCAATATTTATTTCACTTTTTTAACTCATTTGTCTATTAAATGAAAGATTATGTAACTTTAATCTGTTAATTATAAATTCGAGGTTGTAGGAGTTATCTTAGTTAGAAATGAATGACGACAGAACATGCCTTTTACGTCAATATACAAAAACGATTAAAAATAATAACAATTAAATATTTATTAAGTTGCTCGTAGGAACTAATCTTATCAATAAAGTAAAACAAAAATATTATCAATATATACAGTTGCCTGACAACCGCCAAGAACCCTACACATATTTTTTAATATTTGGACACATTGCTTGATGGCGTATTTATAGAGCGGGAACAAGGATTTTTCTTACTCCTTCCATTGATTAAAATACATAGTAAATAGGAAGGATGTAGGAGGAAGTCTCTGTTTTTTAAATATCAGTACTCATTAGTTATTTATATTCTCAGATATTATTGATTTTCAATTTGTGTAAAGAAAAATTATTTGGATCAAAAAACTATAATATCATGTAGTAAAATAGTTATTTTTTCATTCCCTTCGGGGATAAAATACCATAGCTTTAATTTTTCTAATTGAGAACTTCTGTTTCTAATTCGATAATTTTATTGTGAAAAAAATTACAAACAATTTTTTTTGTAAATTCTTTTCATCCGATCGATAGTTCATCAATTACAACATGTTAAATTTTGTAATTTGCTTATATTTTATTATCAAAAATAACAGAAGTCCTAATTATTTCATCTTCCACACAACTAGTTTTTATTTACTAAGGTCTTATATAACACGAAAATATTATCTTTAATAATCTATGTCTATTAATAGTTGTACTCTTACAACACACATATGCGCTGAATATTTGATATTCATCGATGTTTGTCAATTAGTAACAACAGTTTTCTTGTGCCAATATTCGTTACTTGCTAATTGTTTCCTATTGGTCGGTAGATCGGTTTTTGCTACACAATTCAAAAGGATCAATGTATTTTAAATGGCTTATGATCAATTGGAATGAGAATATTTTAATTTACCAGCACAAAAAGACAAATAATCATTTTACATTCGGTGAATAGACGAGAAAAGTGGGACCCTGACTATACTTAAAGCAAGTTTTCTATCGTACATTGTTGGCCACTCGTGTAAAACATTTTTATTAATAACTATGATAAAAAAATATTTTATGGCCTATTGAAGCAGATTATTTCTGCCTCCGGTACTAAGAAAACAAAATTAATGGTGATATTTTACTTTAAATCTAATCTTTTAAACAATATTAAAACGCAAACGTTTGGACAGATTAAAAAAATGTAGAGTAAAATTGTTTGTAATTTTTTTCTCAATGAATTTATTAAGATAAAAACGGGTTCCTGATTGAAAAATCAAAAATAAGGTATTTTATCACCGAAGAAATAAAAAATAACTATTTGACTACTTTATATTGTAGTTTTTTAAACCAAATAATTTTTCTCTTTATATAAATTATAAGTTTTTAATAATCTCTAAGAAAATAAGCGTCTTACTCAAAATCGATTACTGTGTTAAATGAAAATAAAAATATTTAACTCAAATATAATTAGACTAAAATAGTAAACAAAAGAAGTTTTGAGCAAGGGTGTAGTGAAATTATGGGGTGTATGATATAGTCCAAGTTTTTTTTTCAACTTTAACCCGACAAATCGTGAAAACACTGTCTTTGCTTTAATTTAGTCTCAATTTTATCTTTGCTTGCGCTAAACATTTTTCAAGTGAAAATGTAAAATTATAAATAGTAGAATTTGTTCAATAATACTATTAAATTTATTGAATATAAAATTACTATTTGTTTAAGTTTAAATAGATACTTTGCTTTTACAGTGGCTTAATAGGTCAAAGTTGGGCCATGTTATTTACAAGCGCTGGTTACAATGTTGTATTATATGATGTTGAACAAGCCCAAGTAAAAGCTGCCTACAACAATATTAAAATTGAATTAGAAAAATTAGAGAAAAATGGAATTCTTAGAGGAAAAATAGGAGCCAAAGAACAATTCAATCTCATCAAAGGTATTGTTTGCAATTTCTATTTTATAAGATTAATTGTAAGTTTAAAAAAATAATTTATTATAAATTTGATTTATTCTTTTTTTTTTTTTTGTAAAAATAAGTAGGTTTAATTGGGGCTACTTACCTCTTTTCCTATATAACTATACTGTTCGACCTAAAGTATTTACTTTAGTAATTATAAAGTTGAAGTTGAAAAGCTGCAATTTTTTACTCAAAAATAACATTTTTTGTTTAATTTTAAGGGTTGTTTACATATAGAAGACAAGTTGTGGGGACAATCTTATTTTTAACTAATAGTATGTAACATAAGTTCTAATGTAATATATACTTAAAGTACGCTGTATTTCTGGAACATATTTAAAACTTCAGTTGAAAAAGTTCTAATTTTTTTATGTATGTTTCAAGTTTTGAAGTCTATAAAAGGAAAATTATCAGATTAAATAAAGAAAAAAATGTCTGATGATAAAGACATATATACAGTACTTATAAAAAAATTCTATTGTTTTATAGATTATTAAAGTTTAAGTAATATAATGTAGAAAATATAAAATCAAGAATTTTAACACAAAATAAACGTATTATAAAAAATTTTACACAAAGCTATTTACTAAAGAAGCCATAAGTAATACATATAACAGTTTTATTGAACAAAATTACATACATAAAAAATAAAGTGTCGAGACAATTTTTTTTACTAATTTATAATATTTAACATAAGTTTTAATTTAATGTATGTTTAAAGTCGCAGTATATCCGGAACATTTTTAAAAGTTAACTTTTCATGAAAAAGTTGCTATTTTGAATTCCCTTTATAAGCAAATAAAAAAGGATTGACATTTTACTCATATTTCCAAAATAATATACAAAATTAAAAAAAAATCTAAGGTATTCATAAAAAAAATTATTTTGATTTTTTTTTCAAATGGTTTGATGGTTTTAATAAAATACAATTTTAATTGTTAGAATTAACAATTTCAAAAAACGTAATTTTTTGGAGATATCCCCAATTTATGGGAAACAAGGGGAATTATTTTGTATTTTTGAGGGTACTTTCTTCAATTAAATACGATTTATGATTATTTGAGGTATTCTTTGGTAAAAACATCCAGTAAGTCGAGAAAAAATGGTAACAGTCACGAAAAAATTGAATACATTTGAATAATTAATTTAATAGTGTCTCAGCTTCGTTTCGCTCAAAATGAATAGAATTTAGTTTTTAAAACAGTCATTTTTTTTTTAATTTGCACATAAAATGGCAAAAAAGTGATAATTTAATAAATACATAAACTCGCCAAATGGAACAATAATTTTTTTTTGCAAAAATTCTATTAACTTAAATTTTATATATTTTTTTAGTATACTTATCGTAAGGTCTTGTTTTGCTTATGTTACTTTTAAGTTATATAATTTTTAAGTACTTACTTTTTTTTAATACTTTGTTCTCTTCAATAAATATTTCTCTCTAGTTATAATATTTATTTTATAGGAGTTACGACTCTTGAAGAAGTGGTAAAGGATGCCATATTGATTCAAGAATGTATACCAGAAATCATCACGTTAAAACAAGAGCTTTTAAACCATATTGATAAAATTGTTGGTCCTCAAACTATTATTTCTAGTTCCACATCTACATTCTTGCCATCCGATCTTTCAGGAAAAATTCAACATCGTAACCAATTGATTGTTGCACATCCTGTTAGTAAATATTAATTTCCTAACTATTACTTATTTATTATACTATTTTTGTAAGGTAAATCCGCCATACTTTGTACCTCTTGTGGAAATTGTTCCTTCTGAGTGGACCGAAAGTTGGATGATAAAAAAAACTCGAGAGATTATGGAAGAAATAGGACAATCGCCAGTAGTCCTTACAAGAGAAGTTCCTGGATTTGCACTGAATCGTATACAGTATAAAAAAATTATTTTAAAAATGTTGATTTTATTTGTAATAGAATTTATATATATATTCAGGTATGCCATTTTGAATGAATGCTGGCACCTTGTTAAGGATGGTATATTAAATGTAAAAGATATAGATACAGTTATGTCAGAAGGATTAGGCATGCGTTATGCTTTTCTTGGTCCCTTAGAAACGACTCATTTAAATGCCGAGGGTTAGTTCCACATTTAATAAGAATTATAATACAAGAACGGTTAAATTAGTGTTAAAAAGAGTTAATAGATGCATATCTAATTATAGCTTCATTAAAATGCAGTACTTAATTTAAAGCTGTGGTACATATTCAAATATATTATAAAACTATCAATAATAAAACAATATTCTAGTAAAAAAAAAAAAAAAATGCGACCCATAGCACTACGGTATCTAAAATTGTCTTTTTTTTTTTAGTAAAACATATATTTTGTAATAAATAAATAAACAAGTAATAATTTTATAGGATTTGAAAATTATGTTCAACGTTATTCAAATTCAATGTACAGCGTATGTCAACATTTCAAACCACCGCCTAAGTTTGAAGGGGCAACAGTTAAAGAAATTGCAGAACAATTGAATGCTATGACACCATTAGAAAATTTGCAAAAACGTAGGATGTGGAGAGATCAATCTTTAACAAAACTTTCACAGCTTAAACGAAACAATAACTATTAAATAGTTAACGTTTATTTTTATTTTTTATTGATTTCTTATAAACTTTCGTTGACTTTTTATTATGATAATTATTTTTGTAAAAAATTAATGCTAAAAGATGTTTAAGAATTATGAAATTTTATATTATTATACTTTATAAGAATTATTTAGACATTTAAATAAATAATGAAAAATGTTTATAAACACAATAAACTTTATTTAATCAAATTAATTTTCATTATAAATAATAAATTAAAAAAGCTATCTTTTATACTGTAGTAAATAGCTGAGGAAGTATTAAATAACTTCGACATTAGTATAGTATAAGTTTTTACCACAGTAGTAAGCAGTTTTTAAATTCTTAAGTATTATATGAATGTCATATAAAGGAAAAATGCAGGGTAAGCAAATTAATAATGGGAACACATGAAAAGTATAGGGGGATTGACGTTTTAGCTAAGAAACATCTAGTCACGGGTCAGGACGTTTGGTACATAAAATTTATATTATGTTACATTGTTATATTGTATTTTGTTTTTGTGTTTATTACATTCCGTAACTATTCAAAAAGCTGCACAAAGTGTAAATACTTTATATCCACCGTGCTATTAAAATTGCGTATGTGTGTGCGGCAAAGGTCAAGATTGGACTCCCGGTCTTTTAGTCGATCTTAATAATTAGTGTGCGTACTGGCTAGTTTTTGGGCATAACCGTCCTTTATTAGGTATAGTGTAAAGGTAGTTGTGCTGGTGACTGATGAAGAGACACCCTTCAGTCTGCTACTTTTGAGTTAAACCGTGCTGACAGGTCTAAAACCTACCCCTTTAGTGGTTTACCTATTGGAGGGATTGGGGCTGTCCAGTATATCCAACGGGAGGACTCGAGAAGAGACAAAAACGACAAACTCGTTGTTAAAAGCATAAGTTCATAACTTATTTGTGATATCTTTAATTTATGACAAATAAAATTATTTCACCTCATCGCTATCTTTTTTTGTTAATATTATATACGGTTATCTCCAAGCACATATATAGATAAGAATGTATATCTGAGACTCTATGAGTAAATCACCGTGATACAATATAACGTGTTTACCGTCACTGTGCGCATACATTAATGACTGTGCATTTCGATATTTAGAACCTCCTAATAATAACACGTAGGGGCAAAAAATATTCGCGACAATTACTAAATATAATTAAAAATATATTCGAAGTAATTATAGGATAAGAAATTTCGTAGTAGCTAAACTTCGAAGCATTGACTAGTTTTAGTAATGGTAGCAACTATTCCTCATTACAGTTTCAAAAATATTATCAATTATTGACATCGACGTTTTTGATAACTTAACAATAAATTGATAATAAGACATTTTTTTTGCTAAAAAATAATTAAAATTAAATTAATAATTAATGTACAAATAATTGGTTAGTTATACTAGAATCTAATACTCAGTAAATATTGGGTTGTTAAAAAGTTAAGAACTCAGATTATGGGTTGTTTATAACGTTTAAATATTATATCTATTGTATTTATACAAGTGTTAACAAACGAAAAATTGAAATACGTGTATGAATTTTAGTAGACGACACACGAATAAATTAAGAATAATTAGGTAAATAACATAAAAGAATAGAACCTACAACGCTTTTATCTAAACATTATGTACTGTATTTGAAATATTCAACAACATGAATGATCTAATTTTAACAAATAATGAAGCAAAATTCAATTAATATTAATTTCCAATTTTTTTGAAAGTATTTTAATAAACAAATATTCAGTTAGTTTTAGTTCTTTAAGGTGGAAAATTCTGAAAGAAAATGGCCATGAAAAGGGCCATTGATTTTCATCTTAATGAACCAACTCAACAAAAAAAGACTAACTTGTTTCAAGCAATAAAAGATGAGGTTTGTCTATTTCTTATTTTCTTATATTTATAATTTTAAATTATGCTATATTATTACAAAACTTAAAATTAATGTGTATATTAATCAACCAACCAATCGTTTTATGTTTTTTTAAATACTTATTAAATATTAATTTTGTGAAATTTAAACAAACAATATTATTGCTTATTTATAAAAAAAAAATTAAGATATGTTATTTTTAAAGTATTGTTATTTTTCTTTGTTGTTTAATAGTAGTTCCTTACCAAAAGTTTACATGCAAATTATTTTATTTTTAATTGAACTTTTATAACTTTGGTATCTTCACTCATAAGTTACAGAACATATAATTAATAAATCTTGTTAATTACTATATATTTTTTTATTATTTAAGTTTTTATCTACATTTTATTAAAAATAGTTATTATACAATTAATGGTATTTGATGACTCTCGTAAGAGTTTTTTTTTAATGTTAAAAAAGTTATATATAAAATTAAGAAGAAATATTATGATTTTTTAAAAATTTTAATTAAAGAAGTATTTTACTAAATTTATTTTGATTATAATTTTTGCTTGAAGGTGATGACAAGATTATACTATGTTTAAGTTTTAAGTTATTTTATACAGTATTTTTTTAAATATCTTGTTTTGTTTAATATTGGTTAATATTGTTTTATCCTAGAGCTTACTTCAGGTAAAATACTTAATATTTTGTAGGCACATTTACTTATTTAATTTCTCAACTGTCACTTAAATAATTGTATTTTAGTTATCTAATATTTTCTTTTAGTTAAATAAAATAGATTTAATGTCTTTTTACCAGTTAAGTAGGATATTTTATATTGTATATGTTATTACTAATAAATTTTAAATAATTATAATAATTATTTAACTAATGAATATTATATAATGACAATTGACTTATCCATTATTAAAAAAAAAAATTGTGTAATTTATTATGGATATTATATCTTATTTATTTTTTTTGTGTTTTTTTATAAAAATTGTTAACATTAAATTTTTAAAAGCTTGTAAATGATTTTTATTTTAATAGGCAAATGGAGATTCTGTTTCTGATGATGAATCAGTTGATGCTGCTACTGATGTCTTTCCACTTGGGCATTATATTGATAATCCTGAGGAATTAATTAAGCAAATGTTTTCAGTAATACGTGGTAAAAGACTTGCTCGCTTAATACCCCCAGAGCTTAAGGTATGATGTATAATATTTTCTATTATCTAAATAAATTTAAAAAATATATAAAAATTAAATTTCTAATTTTTACAATGCAGTTTATTTTTTCATTTTTTTAAAATCATTTTTATTTTTATTTTGAGTAATAGTACTTTTAAGTTAAATATTAAATATAGAAAAATATTTTATAAAATTAAATTATAATAATACATTAAAGTTTTTTTACTAAATGATTTTAAATGGTATTAAATTATGAAATATTATTATTATTATATATGAATTATTAAAATTAAATTTTAGGATTTAACATTTGAAGAATTAAAAACTGATTGTCTTATACAATTATTGGGTATGTCAAAAAAGCGAGTTTTAGGAGTATTAAAAGGTAAATTGTATCCTATAGTTTATTAATGTTATTTTTTAAATCATTTAATATATTTTTATTAATATTTTGTTAAATAGGAAAGGAATTGGACTCGTCATCTGACTCTGATGATTCACTTATTTTCGAAAAAAAAAAAATGAATGAAACTAATAAAAAATCACATAAAAGGAAAAAAAACAAGATTAAGAAACCTAAAGTTAGATTAAATTCCGATTCTGAATCAGAAAAAACAAGTTTAAAAGAAGGAAACACTCTATTAGAAATATTACAGTTGGAAATGAGAGCAAAGGCGATTCGTGAATTGTTAGAACCTGAAAAAAATTCTGATGATTCCATTAACTTTGAAAATGTAAGAAATAAAACTATTGCAGAAGACAAAAAAAGTGAAGAAGTAAAGGAAACAAAAAGTTGGAGTGAACGATATGAAGAAAGGGAGGATGTTAAAGAGGTTGTTAAAACAAGCAAATTGTGCACAAGTATAAGGAAGCGAATGCTATTACATCAACAAAAGGTTCAAAAATTTATAATCGTAAATTATTAATTTATATAACACCTGTTTTTAAAATTCTATACTAGTGGGTACAGATTGTATATTTAAAATTCTACCTATGATGCATACTCACTATATATATATATATATATAAAACTTCTTATAACATAATCAGACATATCCTAAGATTGATTTTGACCTATCAAGATTTTTAGTAAGAATAGGGTTAAAAAGTGGCTATTTTGAAATTCTAAAAAAATAAAAAATGTTATTTTTAATTTATTGCTTATTGATAATTAATAATAAAAATATGATTTTAATATAGTCTAAGAACGCAATAATTATTAAAAAAAAAAATTCAACAAAATAATTAGCTTATAAAATAAAAAATAATCTAATTATTCTAATTTTTATACCTTGGTGAGATGAAGAGTACAACTGGGAAATGACTGATGATAAAAATAGCAGCACCCAAGCCTCACTTCCAGTTATTACTTTAAATTGTAAAAAATTCTGAAATACTGGTCTACAAATTGTTATCGATCAGTCTTTATTTTTTATTTTATAAGCTAGTTAAACATTTATGTTACCATTTAAGAAAATGAATTTGATACCCATTTAATTTATAAGGGATGATTTTATTAGGTGAAAAATCAAGAAATATACGTGACTAAAAATAAGCAAAATTTTTTTTTCATTATTGTATTTATTTTGAAAATTAGTGGTTTATGATAAACCAATCACTCTATATATAACTTAATTATCTTATATTTTTTTACAGTTGTTAGCAGAAAAAGCAAAGTTAAAAGCTGAAGAATTGGAACATGTCAATTTTGGTGATGCTATTAAAGCAAAGTCAGATGAAAAGCTTCAGAAATTACTTTCTAGTATTGGTGATGAAAATTTAAAGCTTGGTAAACAAAATTTAAAACCTATTGATATTACAACAATGGATAAAAACCAAGAGCTTTTGGAAATAAAACTTCCAGATGAGGTAACGACTATTGGTGATTATGCCATAATTTCAAATATTTAATAAATAATGAATAAGACATAAAAACTTTAGCTTCCAGATATCAATAATATAAAACATTAACTTTTGCTGAAAAAAATGTCAAGTTTATAAAAGTACACATTTAAAAGTTTTTACTATGCGACTGTACTTAAAATAAAAATCAGTAAATTTGAAAAGGACAAAGCATGAATTTTGGAAGATAATAAAAATATAGTAAATAAATTTTAGGAGTTTTCTTATTAAAAATGAAATAGGAGACTATGACTAATTATTATAATTATTTTTGTACAATATAATTTTGATTGAATTGTCTTATCTAATTAGATTTAAATTTATTATTATTTTACTAAACTATATATTAGTATGTTGTAAATAGTGATAACTCAATATATTTTTAATGAAAAAATAAATGTAGTTAATATTGTTAAAAAAAAGAATATTAATAATACTTAATCCCATAACCAAATGACTAAAAAAAATTGAATCTACATTAACTACACCAGACAAATGCTTTAAATTACATCTATAGTTCTTAATGACAAATTCAAAAATTATTTTGGAAGAATGTCAATACCTCTTAAAAATAAAATGTTAACTTTGGGAGTTTTTCTGCTTCTATAAATATGTCCATGGAAGACTAATACTGATCCTACACAAAACTACTTAATAACATTGAAGTTTACTTTTTAGTTACCAAGAGTTACTTAAATTTTAAAATCAGACAAATTTTTCTACCTTTAAATAAACGTCATTTAAGTGTGTTTTTAAGTATATCGTTCTTAAGAAGAATATACTAATTTAAAACTTAATATAACGATCAAGAAAATATTTAAAAAATGAATCCAACAGTGGGGTTTTCATTAACACATATTTTAATATGTTATATGTTGAAATAAATTAAACAAACAAATCAAAAGACTGATTATATCTTCCATAGTTTATAATATTGTTTTTTTCTTGATTGGTTGGAATATCTACACAACATGTTATCTTAGGTGGCTCAACAAAACAATGATCCGTTGGCAAAGGTTTTTTGTAAAGTTTCCTTGCTAGCCAAGCAAGTAACATCATTTCCCATAACATTGTCGAGTTGTAAATCACTGTAACAATATAATAATTACTATCTTATATGATATTTATATTCATTTATTTGAGATCTTACAATTGGCATATACCGTTGGTGTTATAGGAGGCTTGCATGGTAGCCAACCAGCCCAAACCATAGAACGAAATGCTAGTCCTTGAAGTTTGGCTAGAACTAGAACTAGTTGTAGCACGATAAATTTACCTTGGACATTATGATCTTTGAGCATTTCACCTAATACACGCAAAGTCATCGAAATTCCCCACATACCACAGAATATGGACATCACAATAAACGGTTGTAAGTACATGTAATTTACTTGATATAAACTCTAAATTTAGAAGATTAAAAAGTTTGTAAATAAAAAAATTATGACACAAATCGAGCGGCGTATTTAGGAGTGCTTAAGAGGTTTTAAAATAATCTGGCATTTTTTATGTATAAATATATATCTTTTCCTCGTTGTACCCCTCAAGCTAATAAATTTTAAATACACCTCTGTATTTACATTTGGTTCGGTCTGTTAAATTAACTTACCTCTTCTTCCGCCCACATAACCAATAATATCATGTAAACAAATCCTTGTACGACAGGTAATTGTAGAACTAACATTCTTAAATGTCTTAGATGTTTTCTAGAAATCAAAAAACTTATGTTATAAAAGTACTATCAATATTTTTCGTTTTTACAGAAGTTTTTTGATACGAACTTAGTAAGTGTAAATTTAGGAAGACAACAGCAACAAGGCCAACAACAGCATGGTGGCACTTGCATATCAAGCGACTGTGGCTTTACTGAAGCTATAAGGTTGGCTTCACCGCCGCAATAAGCCATAAATAAGCAAAATAATTGATACATTGATGCCATGAACATGCCTTGAGTCAGCGCCTCAGCAAGTAAATGGGCCCTGGGTACTAATATAGCACAGTACGTAGCTATTGCAACCACCTGTCAAACACATAAAATTGTCATTATTATTATTTTTTAACTAAAATTTATTAATTTTGATTAATAACACTGTACCGGATATACACTGAGAATGAACGCCGAATGGGTTTTTACCATAGGTGGCGAATTTTTCATAATGTATTTCAAAGTATCGATGTATAGGTAAAGAATAACAAATACAAAAATTGCTCCCAGCGTAAAAATCGTCACTCCAATCAGATTTATAGCTATAATTATAATATTACATTTTAACGTATAAATTAGTTTATATATTGATATTAAAATAAATGTGAAACGCAATAACTTAAATTTATTATAGTTAAAAACGCATAACCTAAAAATATATCCTTAAATTATTTAGATTATATTGTGCACTGATGTACAACTTTTATATTTATTCATAACTATATTCTATTTAGCAAAATGATAATTTGTGAAATCTAATTGATATTGTTTTTGGATATTGTATTATCTACAGAATACCTAATTATAAAATGTAACGTAAAAAATATTGTTACTGTAAACCACAAAGATTGGTAGATTTATTGCTAATATGCGGTATATTTGTTAAGTAAAGTGTGCGCATTCATTCCAATAATTATTAGGATATTTGATATTACAAAACTCTTATACATTATGCTTTAATAATTAAGAAAAATAAAAAAATAAACTAAACATAACATAACACTAACATTTAGTAGATATGATAGATAATCAGTAGTATCAAAATACATTTATTCTAATGATCAGGGTCCGATTAACCCCTATACGGGCCCCTATTAAAAATATCGCTAACATGAAAATTTGATGAGCAACAAAAAAATCATAAAAACTGTATGACACTATCATGGCAGGCTAGTAAAATTTGAGATGGGCCCTTTAAGCTCATTGGTTCCGGGACGTTCGCCCTTGTTAATGATTAATTAATTAGGTTGAGCAAGAGAAAATGGTGAATTATATTTCCTAGCTCAACTTAATTAGTTTACAAAATCAAACAATTTTTATTTCAATGTTCATTACAAATAAACTAAAAAAATTATTTTTATAAAAATTAGTGGTAAAAATAATTTTATATTATGTGATTTTTAAACTGTTGATTTTAATTTAACAATATTTGCATTAAATAAGCGTATAATTTGATCATTAATAAAAGTTATGCGTCCATAACTTTATGACCGTCATCTTAATTTTTGTTTTTTAATTTAACAACAACATTTTTAGGAAAAAAATGTATCTTTGTAAAATTATTAATTTTTATTTTCAATGTTATTTAGGTGAACTTTGCGTTATAATCTAATGGCTTTTCTCAATTTTCTTATATTTTATAAAAAAACGGATATCGTAGTTTTAAATTTTCTGTGATGTTATTTTAGCATACATTAATTAATTACAGTGACTTTTTGTTGATATTAATGAAAGTATAATTTTTCTCTTTAAAATATAAATGCTAAATTATAGGGAAATGGTAAGGCGATACGGTAGTAGATAGTTTTACTTTTTCATATGATGACTTATGATGCAATCTAATGTTATATGCGACTGTTGGTCGACGGAGAAAGTGGTCAGTTTGTTTGAGTTATTTACGTATGTACAACTGTATGATATAATAAACCTGCAACCACACTATAAACTTGTTTTACCGAATGTTAGGTAATTTCTTATTGCGATTAGAACAAAAAATAATGTGAACTAAACGTGGATGCTGTTGACAAAGATAGATACAAAATGCAAAAAATACATGGTGACCCTGATATTATGTTTAGCATTCTATGTGTAGTCGACCATAGCAACTGCTCAAAAATTAAAAAAAAAAATACAAGATACGCAAATTATTTATAAGGCAAAAAATAGGAGAGTTCATCCGAGAGATGTAATGTCTTTGTGATCACCTGAAACAAATTACTAAACTAAAAAGTAATTTGGAGGACGATGGAATTTTTTAGAGTTCAAGTTCAATAAAATACGTTTTCATTATATTTTACAAGTGTAAATTTTAGATCGTAGAAATTATACGGTCGAGTTTTTTTCTCATGTCTTTTAAGGGTAACAAATTGCTGCTTCGTTAATTTCCTTTATAAAATAAATATTTATACAAATTTATGGACAAATCACAGATTAATTTGTTTTAAAAGGAAAATTTTTATTGTTAAAATCATAATAGGTGAATTCCAGTGTTTTCTTTTAACTAGTAAACTAAAAGATACATATAGTGAAAACTTTTTGTCTCTTTGCTAATTTTATTTTAATACTTTTCTTACAAAATGGATATTAAACTACAATTAAATCATTTTTATATTCTAATTGACAATTAATTTTAAAGAAATATATTTATGTCGTCCTGTGAAAATTCCAAAATAAATGTACTGGTGAAGTTAAATTTGATGTGCTTATGTTTTCCAATAAGCTTATGGAAAATTCCATTCAAGTAAAAATATAAAAATTTATCAGAGAATTTGAAAACAATAATTATTACCTGTGAAATATTCTTCCACAGAAGGTATACCATTAGATGGGTGACAAATTGGCACTAACAAGTTTTTTACAGCATAGTCTGAAACTTCTGTACTGACGGAACTTACATTTTCCGTAGAGCTGACCGTTGAAGTGGTTACTGTTTTTAATAACTTAATTAATTCTGGTTTTTCAGTTGAGAAAAATTCCAAGGACAATAAACGTCCTAATGGTAAATTTGTAGATGATGAATCTGTTTGACTTTCTATTACAGTCGTTACATCTGCTACTAAATCGTCTTCCAATTCCGCTGTCTTGTAAACGACTAGCGGATCTAGAGTTGCCATTATAATTCTAGAGAAAAAAATACATATTAACAAATATAAGTTAATTAATAAGGAACATAATTAGTTCTGTATCATATTTGATTTTACATTAAAATTCCAATCGGTGTATTACTCAAAGTACTCAGAACGCTTAGGGAATGAGTATTCTAGAGGATATTTGTCGTACCGAGTACCTTCTTAAACAACACCATGATTTCAACATGCTTCTATATTTTCGTTTAAAATTAGACCTCTATAAGATGATTCTTTGTTCATGAATCACTTAATTATTTCAAGAGTAATATTAATAATTATTTTTTATTTCTTTTAGTTGCATCTTTTCCCCAATTTATCAATCATTATGTATGTTTGTTATTCCTTTAAAAGAGTATCAATTTAATTTTTTTTAATAGCAACATATAATTAACTAGTTTATGAATTACTAAATTATTTAATCAAGAAAATTACTGATTCATAACAACTTGTGCTCTAGTATTTCAAAAGTTATTAATAATTTAAAGTAATGGCTGGAAATGAAAAGAAATGTTTCCAACTATAAGGGAGATGTTTACTCATTTTCAAAATGTTTCTTCTTATTAGTTGGGCTTTCAAAAAAAAAGATTCTTATTTTGCGTAAATATTTTTAGTATAGACACGTTTCGAAATCGCTCAATTACCGTGACTATAATTCATGGTAAATAACGTGTATCGAATTATTAGGTAGGATACCTGCAGATATCTTACCTTTTTTTGGGTTGCCGTAAATTATTTTATAATTTTATTTATATTTAGTGTAAACAAATAATGTACTTAAATGATATAAAATTTGTTTGACCTTGTCTCTGCCTTAATAAATTAAAAGTAATCACATATTTTTAAAAAAAATATATTTTTGTCCTTATACAAATTTTAAGTGTTAAAAAATATCTATCCATTATTTATGAATATTAAATTTAATATTCACAATTATGAATGCAGTTTGAAAATATTGTTTGAGGAAGTCTTGAGACCCATATTATTATCTATATCTGAAAACAGAATTCGTGAAGAGCTTCTAGATCCGCTACTGCTAAACAAACAACAAATGTTTGAACTTTTATTATTATAGTAGTATCCCTACACCCATTAAATGTAGTTTATGAGGAGTACTGTCAAGCTTGTCTTGAAAGGAGGCGTACACCCTCTCTAGTCCATATTTAATTATTTGTTAATTTTATTACATATAGATGCTACAAGAAGAAAAAACTTTAAAAAGGCACATAAGTAAAAAAAAAACATTCAGTTAACAAAAATTATTTTTCAAAACGGCTCAGACAATAGTTTACACACAAAAAACGACCTTTTTTCAAAATTCTTTAGGTGGAGTTAGATATATACATTTTGATATCAACATTAATAATAATTTTGCCTCGCCTAAGAAATATTTCTGAACCACGTTTATATAAATTTTTTTTATATTTTGAAGGACTTAGCTTTCAAATCCTATTATTAAGGCCATCTTTTGTCACCTTACCTTAATTATTATAAAGTTATCAGACCCTACTATGTAGGTAGGCACGAGTGGTAACATGCCCAAAAGTGGCAAAATATTTCAGAAAAATTATTTAAAAAGAAAAATTAATAAATGCATTTAATTTTTGTAATTTGTATTTTAGAAAAATGTTATTGACTACTATCTAGCTATATTATTATTTACAAACAACAAAATAATGATAATTAATAGACAATGTTAAAAAAATTATCAGAAAATATCTATTTTCAACAATCAGTTAAATAATTTTAACCAATATATGAAAACTATGATAATTTTATGGTGTTATTTGACAATTATTTCAAAAGTAGTTCTTTTGTATTTTTGTCGTCTATTAAAGGTTCATTATTAATAATTATTGAATATATAGTGAACTAGTATAAATACGTTGTACATTTATACATATTAACAGAGTGATCAAATCTGGTATGGCATTCATTTTCTTAGAAACTATTAAATTTTTTTTGTTAAGAGAAAAAATATTAGGTTTAAAAAACTACAATAATATTTAGTTAATTAGAACTTACCTTCAGGGATAAAAATTCTTAATTTAAATTTTCTTAAATGGGAATCTATATTTTTAACTTAATGATATGATAGAAAAAAAAATTATAAACAATTTTGTTCTTATTTGAAATGTTTATGGATATATATAGGTTATCAGTTTCGGACTCGTTACAGAGTCTATCTTCAGAGCGATAGTTACAGGCTCGTGATTGTAACTAAATTGACTATACTGTGACAATATAGTTACATAGAATAGCTCATAGAATATTTATTATGATAGTTTTTAAGAAAACTTTTGTTATATTATCATTCTATTCTGTTTATCTTATTTGTTATATTCTAGTCAATAAAAAATGGTTTATGTGACAGCATAGTAATATCAAGACTACTGTATTTGAAACAGTCAATAATAATAGAATTTCAGACTAAAATCACTTTACTTTAAAAAGTTGTAACAGATGAATGGTTGATCGGATAAAAAAATTGTAAGGACAAAATTGTTTTTAATTTTTTCTTCAAATTGTTAAAAATAGGGATTTTAATTAAAAAAAATTTAATTTAATAATGTTTATCTCTAACGAGATGAAAAATATATATTTAACTACATATTATTGTAGTTTTTAACACCTGATAATTGTTCTCTTTATAAAAATTACAAATTTTCAATCATTTTTATATTATTTGTAAATTGTTATGTACTTATGTTTTGTGTACATGCAGTATGATGCATTAACATATTAATATAATATTTATATTATATATTATATTTTACACGTGAAATAGTTTTTTTCCATATGTAAGTATAGCCTTACGTATGTTTCTTTGGGCTTTTAGCGAATAATTGTATTGCGGAGCGGTTATTTTCGACAATAAGTCATGTAGAAACGTGTCTAAGGTCAAATATTTCCGCAAATAGACTATATCCACTGGCAATCAGGGCCATCCTCGCCCCAGGCCCCGCGCCTCAGAAACCTTGTTTGGGGCCTGCGCTCACAGGCAAAAATAATTCTAAGTTTTTTTTTAAATACAACCATTTTCATATATTACAAACATAGTTTGAATTTTTTTTTGAGAGAGAGAGAATATTATATTATTAATTAAATGAAATTTTTACAAAATACTTATACACTACACAATTTACAATATAAACTATGATATTAAAACTCTATAAAGAATTGTCTTCTATACAGTGTACAAAACAAATTATACTTAGGTTAGATGAGGTGCTGGTAAAGGTATTAAGAAAAAATACTTCACTTATGTTAAAATTTTGAAATTAAATAATTGCCTTCGTACAGCAAGCACAGTGGCATAGCCAATAGGTAGTCCTGGTAGGCCCGGGCCTACCCAGATTTTCTCAACAACGTCTACGAATAAAATAAAAATATTACTCATCACTTCTTCGGGCCTACCCAATAAATAAATTCTAGCTACGCGCCTGAGAAAGCATCACATTTTTTTGAAGCGCCGATAAAAATGTTATGCTTCTTAAATTGTAAAAATCCTGCTAGCAATTTTAAATATTGAATTACATTAAACTGGTGATAGTTATTATAGTGACATAATTAAAGAGTTTGCCAATAATCAAGCAAAGAATAAATTACATAAGAAAAAATGTTTAAAAACTATGTTTTATTATGTCACTTTGTGAATTAAACAAAGATTTTATTTTTTTTAACTATTTAAACGATTTTAATTTTAAAATTAAATGCATTGCCGTCACTAGATTATGCGAAGCTCTGGCAAACCTGTTACCTGCCAGATGGGGATAAAATCCCTCCTCTTCCGTAGTTTATTCGGGTGCAAGGGATTTCAGACTGATTTCTGTATTCACTGACAACTCGACATGTATCCTAGAGGGGTAATGAACCCCCTTGAAAAATGTTAAACATACATTTTAGATTTTAAGTTAGGTTTATGATACAAAGTAGCTGGAGGAAACATTTTTTTTAACTTCCTAACCAATGAAATTTTAGCTACGTATCCGTTAACCACGAACAAATATTAGCTTCGAATTGAAGCTATGAAGGTATTAAGTAATGTTATTTTTATTACCTGTCTCATTAATACTCAAACTTATATTTAACTTATAACTCATATTCGTTAATATTAACATTAATATGTCAAATGATATGAAATTAGATCCAGCTGAAAAAATTCTCTTACGTTTTTTAGTAGTGAACATATTCTTAAATAATGTAATTGTTGAAGATAGCCAATTTTGATAATGTTTTAAAACAACATAAACGGACATTGAATTATATAAGTTGTAAATGCATAAATAAAAATTTTAATTTTATAAGTATTACTCCAAAAATTTGTCTCATTCCCTCTTGTTATTATACACTGTTATTTATCTTAATTACAAGAAAATGAAAATTGTTTACTTACCTCGATAAAATATATTTTTTTATTATTTTAAGTATTTCTTAATCATAACCATTTGAAAACAAAGGTACAGTTCTTAGCATATTAATCATATAGCCTTAAATATTATATTTCTGAAAACTGTATTTCAAAATTTAAATGGCTTTTTAATAATTTGACAAAATAAAACTTATTAATACAACAAAAGTCTAGTATTGGTTGTATATAAAAATAATATTTTGTATTATATCCAATTTCGATAAAAAAATTATATTTTATTAAATTCGCGGAATAACGTCGGCCAACGATAAAACGGTGCTCCGAACGTTTCTAACGCGACAAGACTCGTATTCGACAAAGTTAAAACAACTACTGAAGTATGATCCAGAGACCAGAGTATTTGGTAAGTAGAAAGCATAGCGCTGGCAATGGATACATATAAGAAGGAGTGATTACCACAGTAATTGATTACACCTGAGGAATAATCGCTTCTGATGAGTATTAATAGAAATGAGTATTAAACAAAATTCACATTATGATTTTATGAGTGACTAGCAATAATAAAAGTAACAATGTTATATGTAATATATTTATGTATATTAAAACTTCTTCTCTAGTAAGTTACGCAGTGTATGTTAAAAGAAACAAAACTATAATTTTGTGACCACTTCAAATTGTTACAATGGCGGGTCTAGCTGGTAGTTAAAAGCTGGGTACGCCATTTTATGGATACAACTATTCATAATATAGTGAAAAATATTATGGTATATTGATATAATCGTTTCTACTAGTAAAATTTGCTAACTTATAATGTTTAGTTCGTGCACTATATGGAGAAAACGAAAAGTTTATAAAATAAAAAATAAAGTTTTTAATCTTTTGTGCACCCGAAAAAAAATAACAATTATTTCAATAAACTTTAATTATTAATGCTTCATAAAACTGATTTATTAAAACGAAAAAACAATGATAAATTTTAATTATTCACTTTATGTGGATCGTAATAAATGAATCACTCTGTATTCCTTTTTTGGTAAATGTTTCGTTCATAATAAGTTCTTTTTCCGTAATATAAATATGTTGTCAGAAATTGAACAGTATTTTCATTTTTTTGTAGGATCAAAATATAGTATTTGCCAGTAAAATAAAAAAAAATCTCATGAGGTATTGCAATTGACCTTATTATACGGTATAACATTTGTTTATATACTAATACACATTTGATGATTGTTGATGATAACAATCATATTATTGGTTATAATTATTTAAAAATGGAACAATATTGTTCAACTTTAAAAATTTATCAAAAATTGTTTTATTGATAGAACAATTTTTGATAAATGTTTAATTTTTCTAAAATATAAAAACGAATCACCCCGAATACAGAAATATTTAGAATTGATTTTTTTGGTCTTATTAAGACTTTAAAAAAAGAAAACAAATATGTCTTTAAAAAGTATATAAAACGGAAATCATTGTTTTGACTATTGAATTATTTTCTGTGGGAAATTGGTGAATATTAAGTAGTCGTTTTGTCTCTTGTTTACGCCAATAAATTGGTTTTAATACAATTTATTGACTAATTTAGATTAGACTTAGTTTTCAGGTTAATGTAATTGAAGCTTAAATTTAGGATTATTGCTATTTAAATTATACTTTTATATTGGAAATTAATTTGTTGGTATAAATGTAAAAGATTAATTTAAAGTAAGTAGATAAATAACAACATATTATGATTCATGTGGTCAACCATTAGCGCATGGTGTTTTAGAAACTTTGGTTGAATTGATCTTATTTAAATACTAGGGATTTATAATCTAATGCAGGGCGAAGGGTCATGACAATGTAGATAACATTATCAGCAATCGTACATTATGTTTTATAATATTTCATTGTAAATAATTTGGCGCTTCTTCCGAGTCAGCCGGTGCCCATGCCGCCCTATTCCATTTAATAATTATTCTAATTAGTTTTAATATTCAAGCAAATAATTATTAGTGCAAATTCGTTATAAATAGACTTTACCATATAAAAATTTATTAAGATATTTTATTAATTGCTTAATTGTAATTTAATTAATAAATTTTATCAGTCATTACATTTACATTTGTACGTTATTAATTCAACGTAGGTGAGTTCCAAAATGTCTAATTTTCTATGGTAATTTTCTTGTTAAAAATAATGTAATACTGTTTATGTTTAGTCTACTTAAATAATAATAATAATGTATTATACTTTTAAGGTATACATTTTCAATTCTGATAGTTTTCATTCTTACTTTCAACAGGCTTTCATTTAAATTTTAAAGAATTAAATACAGTTATAATTTACAAAATGAAACTTCATTATATAGTAACTATTGCGTGTTTACTGGTCATTACATCGAAAAAAACTCACCAAGAAGAAATTAATATTGGTATAAACAGTTTTTGAATTATCATAATCTTAAATAGTATAGAATTATATATTGCACAGTTTTCTATTTGTAGAGTTCCTGAATTTTAATTTGTAGAATAAGGATTTTTTCTTATTGTTCCAGTGTTATTGATTCACCCAAAGAAAGTTTTATTATTTATACTATTTTTATGTTATACTTATTAGTATACAGTAATAATTTTAATCAATTATTATCTATTAAATAAATATCTATATAAGATATAAAAGCCAAATAATAACAATTGAAATTTTTTTGTTTAACAAAATTGAAGTTAATATTATTTATTTATTTAAAGGTTTCTTTAGTGCAAGTTAAATTAAAATAATCCTACATTTTTTTGAAACAAAAATTTTATGTTGTATTGGGAGTCAATAATATTAGAATGATATAGAAAGTGATTAGATATAATCCATAATCCATACATATAGTTATGTTCTTAAAATATTATTAGGCTTATATCTTACCTACTTTGGTACAAACACCAAAGCAAGTAAAGCAAAGTAATACAAAATATCTAAAAAAAATTTTAGATGATTTTTTAATTATTGATATAATTTGAATAACAAGTTTTACAATGAATTTTTCTTTTAAATATAATTAATATTTTTTTTAACTCTAGCCATTATTTAGTTAGTAATTTTTTAAGTCATGATTTTAGCCATTATAGGAGGTGGAATAGGAGGAACATCATGTGCTTATTTCCTAAAAGAAATGTTCAATGAACAGGTTAACATAGATTTATATGAAGGTAATACTATTGGTGGAAGAATTGCTACTGTAACTTTAAACGATGGAAATATGTATGAAGCTGGTGGATCAGTCATTCATGATCGAAATAGATACATGTCAAATTTTGTTGACATTACTGGTAAGTATATATCTATATCTATATATATATATACTTTTAAAAGTATGTTGGCCTTTTTACACTTTAGGACGAGTGGTTAGTCCATTCCAGAAAGAAATAGTAGTTCCAATTATAAAACTGATTTTTTTCTCAGCAAACAGAGCTACCGTGACTGTGTGAAATATTACTTAGTCGGCTACACTGTTTCTTTTTGATAAATTTACAATAAAAATTAAATAAATGTCAGTAAAATATTATTTATACCACATTAAAAGTATTAAATTTTGATATTTTACAGAAATATTATGAATGTTTAATATTTCATTCACAAGAGTAGAAGTGGCAATAGACAGTTCACAATTTAAATCCAGACCTGATATGTAAAATAAATGAACTATAAAATTTATTTCACTCTTTTATCATATAAAGTTTGTAATGTTTAAAGTCACTGATATAAATTTTGGTTTCTTTTACTTAAAACATTTTTTTAATTCATCTGGTTCTCTTGAAAAATTATTTGCAAATCTTTACTATAAAATACATAATAACAAATTAGGGATATCTTAAATTTTTAAAAATTAAAACTTTAAAGTAGGCTTCTTATAAAACTTAATGGCAAAAAATGATAAAAAAAAAAAAAAAATTAGGTTATAAATATGAAAAAATAAAATAAATTTTTTTCATTAGATTTATTAGATCAAAAGTTATAAATTTTATAAGAACTGTCTGGGTTACCTGTATATTTTTATAAAAAAAAAACGGTAGCACAGTGTGGACGTGACATGGTTGAGACAAGTATAGATGATTAAAATCTCTATCATAAGAAACGCTTCAATGCAAATCTGTAGATAGTGTTTAGTTTTAAGAAATTAGTGGATTATTCCAAAAGCAATTAACTCCTATTTCCTTCATTATTCCTAATTAGTAGTTCTATGATTTATAAGTATAATATATGAATAATTATTTATTATAACAGCTAAATATAGTATGATACTCATATTTAATAATTTAGTATTAATTTTTACAGAAAAATTATAAAAAAAAATATAAAGTAGTTGTTACTTTTGGGATGTGTATAAAAGTTGAAGAGATTGATGCAAAACTTTTAATAATTTTTTGTTAATTATGAATAAATGGATACAAGAAATTTTCATCAGTCAATAATATACTTTTTTAAACTCATTTTTCGTGCTGATATCAAATCCGCAATTAGATTTTTTCAATTACTAATTTTTGATATTATTAATAATTAGTTAAAAACTATTAATATACAAAAAAATATAAGTTAAAATGAAATTCAACAACACAGCACCGCAGCGGATGAAATCATGGGGGAAACTAGGCATGGATATTTCTGAATATCAGTATATTATAGAATACTATTGGATGTAACTATATGGACAATTCTGAATATTTCAATTGTATCATCTATTTGAACACCAAGAGCTACATAGAACATATTACTAAAACCTCTGTTTAAAAGATTTATTATAATAAAAATAATGATTTTAACAAAATTTCGAGTTTTCCTCATAAATTTACTGTTAATAGTTATATTTTTTATGTTATCAATAAATAGTTAAAAACGAGTATTAACATATCAAAAAAAAAAAATTTAAATAAGTTTAACTTTATATTCTATGTCAATTAGATTTATATAATATTCATGAAAATTAGTGTACTCCCCTTGCAAGGTTTATTAAAATAAATAAAATACAATACCAAGAATTTTAACACAAAAATAGAATTTTTGAATATCATATTCATATAAATGGCTATCATAGCCATTTTGACCACAAAGACGATATATATCTCGAAATTTTTTTTCATAGTATAGTATAATACATAAGCTTTAATTTAAGATAAATAAAAGTGTCAATATTTTAGGAACGTTTTCAAAACCTAAGTTGAAAAAGTTAAATTTTTGTGCAAAAGTTGCTATTTTGAATCCCACCCTGTAGGCACGTAAACGGTCAGATTTTCAAAAAAGTTATATAAAATGAAAGGGAAATATCTATGGTTTTTAAAAAAAGAACTATTTTCTTCATTTTTCAATAAGTTATGGCAATTAAAAAAAAAAAAATGTCAAAATTTACCGATTTTATAAATTGTAATTTTTTATGGGATTTTCACTATTTACGGCGAACGAGGACAAAATTTTCAATTTTTGAGGATAATGTCTTCAACTATATATCATTTGTGATCTTTGAGGAAAATCGTTTCAGTGAGGTCTGAGAAAAAGTAGTGAAAGATACATAAAAAAATAATAATAACCACATCAAGATAAAATTAATACCTTCTCAGCTTTGCATCGAAGCTAAAATAAGTTTAAGATAATTGAATAGAAATAAATGTTTACATTTGAAGTTATTTTTAAATTTACAATAAATTAAATAATAGTTTATTAAATTACATTGTCTAACTAATTATTATTAGTTATATTAGTGTATTAAAGGGTTTCTCTTTATGTATATTAATATTGTGTTTAAAAGAAATTGACATTACGAGTTGGTTAACTTAGACGTATTGGTGTTTAATATGTTATCAGTATTTTGCATGTCACTTATGTTATTTAGAATAAATATTTGTAGGTCTAGAAAAACGTAATACAGCTTTAAAATCTGAAAGAGTTGGATTATATTCTGAAAATGGCTTTGAGTTTATAGAGAGTAATAGTGAAGTGGTGAATATAATGAAATCTGTTTGGCGTTATGGTTATGGAGTTAAAACAATGAAAGGTACAATTGATGGAATACTTAACAAATTTGATAAGTAAGAATAAATAATTAATATTTAAGAAATTTAATGTTATAAATGATGTTTTTTTTATACTTAGAATTTATGAATTACAAAATGCTGGTAAAAGTTATGATGATATAGTTGATCTTTTGGTAGCTATTGACCCAGATTTTGGGAGCTATTTAAATATTTCTATCAAAGATGCTTTTATAAATAATCTAGGATTTTCTGAATTACTTGTTGATGAAATTGTTAAAGCATCACTTGTAGTAAATTATGGACAAGATGTTGATGTTCACCAATTTGTTGGTAATTAGTTAATATTTGGATAATTCAAAATTCTGCTTTTTTTTAGTATTGCCTTATATAATATACTTTTTATTGTATATATGATATATGTAATATATATAATGATTTTTATAGTGCTTAGTAAGTAAGGAAACTGGTCAAATTTTACAAATAATGAGAACAATGGAAACCCGTGACTTACTTACTGAACACTTTACATATATAATATAAAATTATGTATATTGAAAATTTTAAATATTTGGTAAGGAAAATATTGTTTGATTCAAAAAACACTACAATAATATGTAGTAAAAACATGATATTTTTCATCACTTCAAGGTTAAAAAACATTAACTTGAGTTTTTTTAAATGAGAACATATATTTTGAATTTAATAAAATGTTTTTAATTTAATTTTTAATTTAATAGCAAATGACATTTGAATTTTTAATATAGCTTTATTCGTTTATTAGATATAAACACTTAAAGTTTCAAATTTTTGAGTTAATATACATGTATAATACACAAGGGATTACAAATACAGGTAGCTAATTGGTTTTTATGACAATGCTGTCACAGTCACAGATTGATTATTATCAATTTTGATTATCAATAGATATACTTTCTGTATTGTTAGTTAGTATATTTATTAACTCACAACAATGTGCCTCAAAAGTTTGAAACTTTAAGTGTTTATATCTAATAAACGAATAAAGCTATATTAAAAATTCAAATGTCATTTGCTATTAAATTAAAAACTCAAACATTTTATCAAATTTAAAATGTGTTCTCATTAAAAAAAACTCAAGTTAATGTTTTTAACCTTGAAGGGATGACAAATATCATGTTTTTACTACATATCATTGTAGTGTTTTTTGAATCAAACAATAATTTCCTTACCAAAAATTAAAAATTTTCAATAGTTACTGAGTAAACGAGTGTCTTATCCTTAATGAATCACCTATATATAGAGTGATCCACGAAGTTTTGACAAATGTAATAATTTTTAGTTTACTAAATATTTAGTTACTCAAAAAAAAAAAAAAATAATTATTAACTTTTAGGCTATGTTAATATCATAATTTTATTATTTGTTTAAAAACTTCAAAAATACATTGATGAAAAAACAAATTAATTTGTAATTGAATTGTGTTTATAGTGCCATAAATGATAATTGATGTTGCCAAGCTACTTTAAAGCATAATTAGTAAATTTTTACATTAATTATATCAATAGTTGAAAATTTAGGTACAAAATGTTATCACAACTTTTAAAGTTGTTTTAAAAAATTATTTTTATTATATTTAGTGTTTTTTGGTGAAGTCAGCAGTGTTTTTATTGGGGTTAATTTCATTTAAATAAACAATTTAATATTTTATTAATGAAGTGCTATTTACATATTTACTATATTTAGAAGAGCAAGTAGCATTAAAAAATGCTGTTTTTTTTAAATTGAAGCAACCCTTGGACTTTCTAATACTGGGAAAATTATTCTGGAATATTCCCTCAATGTTTTTTGGTTATTTAACCCTTTTTTTTTTTTTTTATTAAAAGTAAATGTTTAATATGGAATTTTAAGTTAGTTAGAAATATAGAATGCACTTTTTTGTTTAATTTTGTAATTAATAACTATTTTAATCTAAGATTAAACGTTTCAGGATTAGTTTCATTGGCAGGAATGGGAGGATCTTTATGGGCAGTAAAAGGGGGCAATAAAATGGTGGCTGAAAAACTAGTTGAATTATCAAAAGTACGTTTAATACAAGAATATGTTGTACAAATAACACAAAACGACAAAAAATATATTTCATATACACTGACAACTAGTAATAGAAATAGTTTAACATATGACTATGTAGTATTTGCTGCACCGCTAGCTGAAAATCAAAAAATTCCCATAGTATTTAATGATATGATAGAACCTTTCAAAGTGGGAAAATATCATCGAACAATCAGTACTTTTGTAGTAGGTGAACTTAGAAAAGAAAAATTTTCTCCTTTCTCATATGAAAATGATGGCAAACTTATTATAGCAATCAAAAAAGAATTTTTTAATTCAATAGGAAATATTGAAACTGTTAATAACACATCATCTAACTCAAATTACTGGAAAATATTTTCTAAAGAACCACTTTCTTCATATCAGCTAAATGAATTATTCACTAGTGTAAGTGAAGTTAAAGTAATGGATTGGTTGGCTTATCCTCATTATCAAGTGCCTACAAAACCTTCAAGCTTTCATTTATCTGATCAGCTTTACCACATAAATGCTATTGAGTGGGCAGCAAGTGCTATGGAAATGAGTTGTATTGGAGCCAGAAATGTTGCACTTTTAATAAAGAAAAATTTTGAAAACAATTGGAATCAAACTACCATGGAGCCTCGTGTAGAATTATAAAATATACTATGAATAATATTAGGGATTGCTATATATTCATGGAAAAAATGATCAACATCATTACTTAATAACATGTTTAGTATATTATGTACATAATAGCATAAGTTTAAAAATTAAATGATAAACATTATTAGTAGTAGTGATTTACTATAAAACATAGGTAATTACATCAACATCAAACAATTTTTATTTTGAAAATTTTTTTAGTTTAATTACCGCTGCTGAAAAGTTCCAAATCCTAGACCAAGACCACGATGTGTATGCGTAGCCATACGAGCAACTTCATATTGACTTTCCATTGAATGAAACATTTCTTCTTGTTTTTTAATAATATCCTTTGATTGACCTTGTTGATTTGCTTGATTATCAGTAGCTAAAAAAATGAGTTCAACATATTTATATTAATATAAATGTGATGCTTCATAAAAACTTAAGATACGTTTAAGGTACCTTCCTCATATTAGTTTTATGATATTATACATATGTTAAATATATTTTGTTACTCTCATATTTAAATACTTTTTAGTCCAGACCATATTAAAAGCATAATTTTTATTTTTATCTAATAAGGAAAAAAATTAATTTTTTTTTTTAATTAATGGAAATTAATTTATGGATCAAAAGTTATAAATTTACTGTTAATAGTAATTATATAAATTTTATACGTGTCAATCTAAAAAATCCTCATAAAATTTTTAATTCTAAATTTATATGTTGAGCTAAAATAGTGTTTTAAAGTTCAACAATTTTTACTTATAAACTTTCATATAAATCAATTTTAAAAGACCACAAAAGTAGGTTAAATATGACATTTTGTACAAATTATTTTTAAAATATTAAAACCCATATAACTTGATAAAATTTATTTTTTAAATTAATTTTTTCATGTGTAAATACTTGCTATCTAATTAGTTATAATCTCAAAAAAGAGGTGATAAAAAAAATCTGATTTCAGACTTGATACTATTGTAAAAATTTTGTTTATTCAAATATATATTGATCTATGATCATTAAAAAGTATTTTATTTTAGTGATATGATTTTACTGTGTAATTTGGTGTAACAACAAATTTTATACTCTTATTAAATTGGAGATATTTAATTTAAAAAAGTTCTTTTGAAGTGGGCATTTTGTATAGTAAATTCAACTAGATTAAAATTTTGTTTTTTTGAGGTATTGGTCAAGTGAGAGTTGAGAAAAATGAATGACAGACAAAAATAAAAAATATATAATAAAATATTATAATATGAATAAGAAATTCTTTCTCACAAGGGGAGAATGAAGACAAGAATGCAAAAAAAATTATTCCAATGGGTGAATTTGAACCTCGTACCCCAGGGGTTTAATATTGTAGTATATTCAACGTAGCCACTAAGAATTAAATGAATTTTAGCTAAAACTAAGAATTAAAGCTTGTTCAAAAATTCAAAGTCACTTTTATTAACTTTGAGGAAATAAAATAAGTTTATATTTAATATTATTAGATTCATGTAACTTTTATAAAAATTGGTGGACTCATTACTATGGCTAACCTTTGTAAGGTATTTTAAAAAAAACAAAATTTAAACTCCAAAATATCATGTTTCTTTAACATCAACTATTTGCACATAATAGATAAGGGATTGGGACAATTTCTTTTTATTAATTTATAATAGGTAACATAAGCTTTAATTTAACATATGTTTGAAACTGAGTATTTCTGGAACATTTTTAAAAATTAAGTTGAAAAAGTATAATTTATATGTTGCTATTTTGAATTTTCCCATGTGGGTAGATAAATGGTCAAATTTTCAAAAAAGTTTATATTAAATGAAATGACAATATCTAAGGTATGAAGAAACCAAACATTAAAATAAGTAGATGAATTCACATACCTAGAAAGTACAATCAACAAAGACAGAAAAAATAAATCTTAGCTGTCATGCCAAGATAGCCTTTAACAGCAAGAAAACTCTACTTACATCAAGAAACATAAGCCTAAAAATAAGAAAAATCTATTGAAGATATATGTATGTGTAACCTGAACTATAATAATAGAAAAATCAAAAAGAATAAAAGTATATGAAATGTGGTGCTATAGGAGAATGTTAAAAGTAATCTGGATGCATAGAAAACCAATAAAAATGTACTGGAAAGGATATTACAAGGAAAGTTATTATAGAAAAATATTGTTAAAAAATAAAATGAATAGATAGATCATATAAAGTAACAAGGACTGTTGTTGAAATTGATTATAAAAGGAAAAGTAAAAGAAAGAAACTATAAAAGATCAAGATTAGAATATATTAAACAAATAATAAAGAATAAACCATATGAATCACATGTATAAATGAACAGGAAAGCAGATAATAGAGAAGAATGGAAGATAGCTGCAAATTAATCAACAAATTGAAACCATAGGTATATAAAAACTGTTTTTTACTTTAACATTTATTTTTATATTTTGATTTAAATTAATTCACTTAAAAAAATATCCCTTCAATTGCTACAAAATGATTATTATTAAAACAAAATTAACTTACATTGTCCATCATCCTTTATACCCATGAGTCTTTTGAATTTAGCTGTAACTTTTCCATCTTGGTCACCAAACTTTGTAGATTGCCATATTTTTGCAGTATTATTACTATTTGTAGCTGTTGGTTGATTTTCAACAACTTGTGTTTCAGATTCTTGATTACTATTTTGTTTATGACCCCATAAGAGTTTACGTTTTTGAATCTGTTCAGCATACTTATTGGGATTAACAGCTATTGGATTATAATAAGATGGTAACTGTATTCCAGTTTGTGTTTTAACTTTTTCTACTTGGGCTTCCATAGTTTGTTGAAGTAACAATTGAGGTGTTACATGTGAAGTGGAACATGATAAATCTCCTGTAGGTGGCACTTTCAATTCTATACCCAATTTATCTAGTACTATAAAATTTGGTAATCATTATGAAATAGAATAATATTTATACTTATAATCATGAAATTACTTTGTCTTTTACTATTAGCTTTCTTTTCTATAAAATAATTATGTGATGAATATTTTTCTTTGGTATTTGATGGACTGCGTTTTTTATAATATTTTGAATTATGTCGAGAATAAGGACTCCTTGATCTTCGACTGCTTGTTCTAAAATGTACAGTGAACTCTTCACAGTTAAATTCACATATAATATTATGATTAATAATGAGGCCCCCAGAGTTGAAGGGGTCAAAGTGAAAATTTGAAAAAAATAAAAATAATGAGAAGTGTTTAACTTAAAAGTAAAATGACCACAACTTTTAGAGGTTTTAAGATTACAATGAATATTATTTAAATAAATATAGTTATTTAACATTAATTCCCTCAGAAACTGCATTAAAAAAGAGCATACCTCAATTTTTAAATTCCACCTCAGAATCAATTTTTAATCATTTTGATCCCTTCAGCTATAGGTTACTCAAATGTAATTATTATACCTTGAATTTTTACTACGACTGCGAGACCGATATGAACGTTTTTTACTACGACTATGACTCCGAGATCGCCGTGATCGTTTTTTTCCACTGCTTCGACTTCGTGACCGTCGAAACTTTTTTTTACTGTGACGATCTTTTGATTTATCCCTATATATTACATAAATTGTAAATACTAAAAAGTAAAATCACAACTATTTCAACAAAAAAACTTAAAAGAAAAAATCATATTTTAAATAAATCAAAGAGATATATGTAAGTGTAAAATAATTTAAAAAGCCCAATTAGCAAAAAAATAATTTTGTTAATAAGAACTGACCTTCTATGACGACTATAATTTTTTAATTTTTCTTCATCAGAGCTACTTGACTTTACATCTTTAAGATTCTCATATTTTTTGTGAGGATATGTTTTTGGTGATGGTGACGCTGTGTTGGACGATGCAGAACTAGAAGGAGAGTTCTGATTTTTGAAGAGAGATTTGTTAGAACTATGATTTGACTCTTGCTGAAATTTGATAAAAATTAGTATTAAAACAATATTTCTTGAGATTAGATTGCTGTTTTCAAAATAGGATAACAGCAAATTTAAAGAATATTTTTGAAATTTTCTATACATAACATTTTTAAATTTATAAAACATAATTATGTGTATATATAATTATATATACACATCGTAAATTATTCAAAATAATTTTTTTTTTAAGAATACAATAACCCAACAGTAAATAATAAAAAAGCAAAAAATTATACCTTCTGAATGCCAGTTTGAAGAGATTTGACTTCTAGCGGGAAAGGGTTTACCTGTTGTTTTTCATAATTACTCACCATTGTGAATATTGTACAGAATTGATAATCAGCCGCAATCAATTTCTTCTTCGTGCGGCGCAAAGACAAGAGGCTCCCACAGTCGATTGACTACTCGTGGACTATTTTATATATAATTTCAGAACAATGTCGTGTTAATATTGGTTAGAACCGGAATTTTATTTTTTTAATTAGGTATAAGAGAATATTATGTTCTTTACTAGCCTAATTCTAAATATGTTTTACCCACCTTAAGTCTTGGACATATGGTTTTAACTTGGATCACTCATGTAAACAAATTGAATAGTTGATTTCTTTAATAAAATCTTCAAGATAAAACCAAAAACATAATGAAAATTAAGTTGAATGAATTTAATTTAGAGAAATTTATTGCACTTAATAATTTCTTAGGCAAAACATAACTTTATAAGATTTAGTTTTTGAGAAATTCAAGTTAATAAAGTATTCAATCCAATTGTAGTGTTCAAGATGATTAAGACATAAATTCATAAATTTCAATGAATGCTTTGATAACAATCAATTTAAAAAATAACAGGGATGAATAAACTGTACAGTCCTTAAACAACTTTAGAATACTATCTTACTTAAATAATATAAATTTTGGATAATAATCTAAGTTGAATTTTTTAGATAGCTTATTAAAAAAAAACTATAATTCCTTATAAATAACTTAGTAATTACGAAAAAAAAAAAAGGTTAATATTCATACCTCACTCAATTCCATTGTAATTTGCTCATAATTTGCATCAATTTCATTTCCATTTGTATTTTCAATTTTACGCTATTATAAAATATATATATATATATATACAGATTATGTCTTAGATAAATGCACAGCTTATTTATATAACTAATTACAGTCTAAATGATTTAATTGATACACAGTATCTAAATGAGTACTATGATTTTTATCAGATGAATAATAAAATTTTAGTTAAAAAATAATAATATAAAAAAGATAAAAGCGGATGTTCCTACTCACTGAAGTGTTCCGTTTAGGGCTAGGGCTACTGTCATCATCACTAGCATAATTACATAAACTTTCCATTGCTTTGTTATTTCTTTACGTTATTTTATTTAATTTAACACGAAAAATGAATTTAAATTTAAAAAGTTATTTTAGTTCAAACCATCACGTAATAAAATGTAATAAACATAAATTGTATTTTAATGATTTGTTAAATCTAGTCAACAGCGTAACCAAGGTGAATAAATATTTTTTATCACACTTAGATGTATACTTGGCGTTTACCTATGCACAACTACAAATTAGACTTTAAATTTAATCGACAAAATAAATATTAATTACTAGTTTACACGATTTCAGAAAAAAATAATATATAATCATTGAAAATGGCGTCGACAGTCGAAAACCAATTAAACAGACAAATAAACATTATCAATGCTACGGTACTACCGCTAGAGCGCAGTAATAGCTTTTTGAAAATCTAAGAGGTTGTAGTTAACAAAATTCATTGATCATTGTTTCAAGCAAAATTTATATTCAAGTATTAGTTATTGATGTTAATAGATTGTAAGCCTGAGTAAAATTGAACTTTTTTATTAGGTCAACTTTATAGATACATTATTCTTTAATAGTCCATTTCAGTAATTGTATGAAAAATCGATTTACACAGTATGCCTAGAAATGCACATCTACCGTACAATATATTTGGATAATTCAAATTTTATAAATCGAATCAAGATGTGAGTGTAGTATCTTAAAATTCTTAGCGTGATAATTGATCCTAAAAATCAAGCAACGAATTAAATTACAATAATATGCAACAGTGTTTAGTAATTATACAATTAATGTATTATATTAACATTAAAATACACTAGTGCATGGTTTAAAATGTATTTTTTACCACAAGAAAAATATGTAAAACCCAAAATTGTAAATTTTGGAGTTATTATAGTGGTACATTAATATTAAGATAGTACTATTTTATTTATGAATTATAAAATTAAAATTTGATAGTCCGGATTTTGATGTATATTACTCAATTTGTTTGAACTTATCAGAAAAATAGTAAATATTTGGCGAATTGTTGGTATTACTGATTACTCTGGTAGTAAAAACTATTGACAGTCGAGCACGTGCATTAATATTTGTTGCATAAAAAATTATTTTGAGTTTATCGTATAAAAATTTTATTTGTTAAATAGTATTGTGTGACTTATTCTAACTTGGAATTTCTGTTTTTAAAATTGGTGTTTTCGTAATTGTTAAATGATTTTTTAATTGGAAATCAACTTTGGACTTTACCATCATTTTTAAAGCATTTTATTATTAATAAAATAAAAATGACAGAAGATACAAGTGTTGTTGAAACAAAGGAAAAAGTTTCATACAGTGCAAGAGTTAAATTCCTTAATAAAATTGCTAAACCTCTAGCTTCTAAATCGTTAACAAAAAAAATTTATAAATTAGTGAAAAAAGGTAAGCTTAATTCTTATTTAATTTGTTTTTACCCCTCTATTACAAATCAATTTTTACAAATGAAATTGGCATTATTATTTAAATATAGTGATAACAGTAGTTATTCGAAAAATTTTAAGAATTCTTAAACTTTTGTTCGAGTCTTATGTTCTACCTACTTTAATTTTTGTCTTCAAAAATATGTATTACCTAAAATTTATCAATTTTTTAATTACTGGACTAATGGACTTGTAGTACAATATGTCAATTAATTACATTTTTATGACAATATTTTTCTATGTTCTTAATTTTAGCACACAAAGAAAAAACATATTTAAGAGTTGGTTTAAAAGAAGTACAAAGACGTATTAGAAGAGGTGAGACAGGTTTAGTTATATTTGCTGGAGATGTTACACCAATTGATATTATGAGTCACATGCCTGGAATTTGTGAAAATAAAGGTTTGCCTTACTGTTATATTCCGTCACGTGAAGATTTGGGTTCATCTATGGGAGTTAAACGATCTGCAGTTATGGTCCTTATTCGTAAACATGATAACTATGCTGATTTATATGACGACTGTAGTAGTGAGATAAAAGGATTACCACTGGATTTTTATTGATTATTTTGTAATTTTCTTTTATTATTTTAAAGTAATGTTAAGAAATGATGATATAATATAACATAAATAAAAATAACTTTTAAAATAAAGTATTATAAAAAATGAATTAATATTGTCATACTTAATTTCAATGAAAACTATACATAAGAATAATAAAGGTGAAAAAAACTACAACTGCAGCTATAATTAATGAGTCTCGTTTTTTTTTTACATTAATTTTTTGTATAAGATTATTTAGAGCTGGAAATCTGCTAGATAAATCATGTAATCTTGATTGTAAACGTTTAAAATGATGACGTTGTGATATTAGGTGTTCTCTAGTATCTATTGCTATAGAAATTTGATCAGATATCATACGATCAGAATTGCGAACATGTTCATGTTCTTTGACATATAAATCCATTCGTCGATTTTTTGTTCCAGAATTTTTATATCCGCTAGAATAAAAAATTCACTATAAATTAAAGACTACAATATATAAAAATATAAATATTACTCGATGTCTTGCCTAACACTATGTAGTAAGTCCTCTCTTTCTTTTCGAGCTCGCATGGTTGATTGTATTTTTTTAAATTCTTTTGTATAATCTTGTAATATATCTCTGTGTCGTTGAATAGTATGCATATTTTGTGAAACGCTAATATGTTCTTTGTTGTTATTCCATTCTTCCATTTTATCATTCACAATATTAAGCTATAAATTCATGAAAAATAAATCAATTATAAGTAGGACCTCGATTATAATACATATTGCATTATTTTTTAGTGTTATCTTAGACGATAATCACCAAGCATAAAATTCAATTTTTTTTTATGAAATTTTCAAAATTAACATTTATTTTGCAACTTTTCAATTTTTTTGGTAATTCTGTCATTTTTAGCCCATATTAACACATTTTAGTGCATAATTAGAAGAAAGAGAACCTTTTTATTAAAATTATGTGTAAATCAAAAGTTAAATTAAATTTTATGACATTAAAAAATGTCATTTAAATTGGGGTTTTATTTATAAGCATGATAAATGAAATAAAAAATAATAATATCTTTGTTGGAATTTACTTTTGTTAAAAGTTCTTCAATTTCAGAAGTAGCTGTATCAAATCTGTCATCAGATAACAACATTTGTGATTCATCATCATTGTACATCATTGGATTTTTAGTACTTATTTTACTTAAAGACACAAGCATAGAATCAATTTCTGATTCTAGACGTCTGGCTTGTTTTCTAAGATCTAGAAATATTGAAATTAATTATTAATTATACTATAATTTAATTAAAAAGTCCATCATTATTTCAAAATATTATGGTTTTATTTATTTAGGTAGCCCATGTTTTAGGAACAAAGTATACATATTGACAGATTAAAAAAAAAAAATAGTTAAACCTAGGGCTATAATAAGAAAAGCCAAGTACCTAAATTCTTGGTCATAGTTGGATCAAAAAAAGTTTTAAAAATTATTTTTTACATCCAGTAATGGAATTAATAGAATAAGGTTAACCACTTCTAAATGGGGACATATTTTTTTATAGGGGTCATAACGAGAATCTAGGATTAAAAAAGTGTATCAACCAAATTCTTTTTTTATTCGGGATAGCAAAATAAAATTTTCATTTTCCATTTAAGGCTAATAAAAAAATTGTATTTTGTCTTAAAAATATGTATGGAATACCTTTAAATATAATAATTAATGGTAAATTTTCACATTAAAAAATATTTTATATATTGGTTGAAATTTACTAATTATCCAAAATTCCCAATGTTGATACTAATTTTAATTCTAGACAATCAATAGACTTCCTAAAATTGACCATAATTAAATCATACTATATAAGACCTACTTATAAATATAAAAAAAAAATTCTTTTACCTCCCACCCACCAAAATTAAGTATTGCAGTAAAGTAAATCATCTTCTGAAATTTCATATCTTACAATTATTTTTTTTGAGATGGCTCATTAATAATTAGGTTTTCCCATATGATTGATATGAAAACAATGCATATCTTTCACTAAAAAAATGACCATGCACTCAATTTTTAAGATAAAATGTCAAAACTAGAATTAGTTTAAAGTTTATAAAATTATCTCTATTTGTTATATGAAAAAAATGTTATCAAACTATTATTTTTATTGATTATAGAAGCAAATGTATAATTTTATTAAACAAGCCAAAGAAGTGTTTATTTTCTTTATATCATGACCACACTGTCAATTTTCAAAATAATGAGTTCAAACTAAATTTTTTTTGAAGCCTATATAAATATTCTTTTTTTCTTTCTTTCTCGCATTAATCCCAATTACTTGGGGTTGGCCACTCTTATCCTAAACTTCCACTTGACACAATTTCATACATCATCTACGCTCACATCAGCCGTTATCATATCGCATTCAATTATATCACTCCATTGTTTTTTGTCTTTAACAATAATTTCTAAAATTGTTCTTACAGCTTCCGTTTCCTCTCTCTTCATAATATTGAGGCTATAGTCCCTCTTATATGTTTGTTCTTTATCCTTTTTTCTCTAGTCACTTCACTCATCCATATACGCATTCTCATCTCTGCTGCACTCATTCTCTGCTCTACTTACTTATCAACCTCCCTACACTCTGAACAATATATCATAACTGATCTCACTACGGTCTTATAGAATTTACCTTTAGCCTCTATATAAAGTTTATATAAAATGTAAAAAAAATGTTTTTGAATAAATGATTAATTTCACTAATTATAGATATAAGAGTAAACAAACACACCTAAAACACCGTTTTATTGGTTTCATGAAAAATCTAATTAAACTAATTTTTTTCACCTAATTCATCTTGCACCATACAATGTTTTAGTTTTAGAGTAGTTACATATGAATTTATACCATATATATCTTTAATAGTACCATCCAGTCATAATTACTTTAAATATGTACTAGAGAAGTAATAGTAAATAAAATTATTTTACTATATAAAGAATAGTATAGAGATTAGAAGATAAGTTGTAATGAACAAAACATTAATATATTTATATATATATTCTTACTACTTTCAATTTTATAGTTTAAATAGGAAAAAACAATATGCTACATTACTGCACAAAATATTTTCAAAAATTTAGACTAATTTTTGAATTGTAAATTAATATTTATATTCATTGTTATATGAAGGCAACTTTAAAACCAATCAATATTATCATACATGTATACTCAAATTTATGACATAATGCAAAAAAAAAAAACGGAATCGTATAAATTAAATTTTTTAATTAAATAAGCAATTATATTTTTAATTTTATTTTAATACATTACCTTCCCAAGTCGCCATTATTTTATCAAAGTTATACAGAAATAAGATAAAATAACAAAATACAATAACTTAATTCACTAAAAATTACATGTTTAAATGCATAAACGGTAACAACATATAATTAAATGATTTTAAATCATGTATAAATAAAAAAATATAACAGCTAAGTATGTACTAAGTACTTATCTATTATTATAAATTGAAATAAATTTAATGTATTAATTATACATAGTAATAAAATTTTCAATTATTATTACATGTAATATGCATCATGGTGAGTTATTTATCAGTCGTTATCACTTTTTAAATTATTATCATGAACTACATTTTCATGTTATTATCAAGTGGATTTATTAAATTTCACACCTTGTAGCGTTCCTAGACTGACTGGTCACGAGGACAAATATTCCCTAAAACCTCTGTCTATAATGTATTATTATTATCCCATGAATAGTATACTACGGTTTATAAAATTATTTTTTACTCATCACTTCTTTTTTTGAATTCACAATTTTTGTGCCCTATTGGTCATTTGCGTTTCAAACCTCTCCTCTGCTGCTTACATTAAATCCAGTCATGAATTCACAATTTTTGTATTTATACATATATAAGTAGGTTTCAGAAAAGTTTAAAATTAAAAGTCACATGATAGTTTTAAACAGTTTTGACTTATTGACCCAAATTTAGGAGACCTTGAAAGAGCCAATTCCCTCCAAAATCCTAGAGTAACTATAAATATAGTTTATGTTTTACATATAAACATATAAATCACATAAATCCAACATTAAACAATACATCAGATGATAAATACTATCTTGGAAAAGAACAATAGTTCAACACAGGGTAACTATAATAGTATCTAGCTTAGGGTCCAACACTTAATATTTATGAATAGGTATTAGTATTGAAAAATAAATTAAGTAATAAAAAAAGCAATACAATTATTTTATATTAACAATTTTATAATAATTATAATTAAGCTTATGAAAAATTACTACATTTTATGAATAATCTAATAAATAATTATAAATCAATAAATCTTATTTACAACCAGCTTACTTTAAAAATATTATATTATTTATGGGCAATATACATACTGTTAAAATATTAACAGCAGATTAATATATATGTGAGAATAGTCAATATCTAACATTACATAATAATGAGTACTGACAAGATTTTTCTAATTATACTTCAGTAATAAGATGTTGAGAATTTAAATAAAATAAAAATCAATAGCAAATTTTTAAGTACATAGGCACATAATATTGGATAAATTGTTCAAATTAAATAATATTTAAGAGAAAAGATTTATATAATTATGAATAAATAATATAATTTATAACTCAATTAGAAAAGATTTTTCTGTAAAATGTGTCACATATGAACACATAATTAATGAAAATATTATTAAAGAACACAACGAGAAATTTAAGTTACATAAAATTAAAAAGCACGTTCTTCAATTTGTTTTTGAAGCTCTTCTATTTTAGTTTTGCGATGGTGTAACATTTTCTTCATAACATGGTTATCATTTTCTAGTTTAGCAATTTTTTCAATCATACTTTTGCTACTTGCAGCCTAATAAAAAAAAATATATTTTATTATTTCAATAGTTAATTAATCAAATGTATATTTACCATAGCACTACTGACAACACTTTGTTCTTCAATAGTTTGAGTTGATTGTTCCGATTTTCTAACACTTGTTATTTCTTTTAATCGTCTCAACTCTTTTCGCATCATATGATTCTAAAGAATTGATAAAGTCAATATTAATTATTTATAAAATGATGAGAACTAATATAAAGTTAGTTCTAAGCAGGGATTGAAAATCTAATGATATTGATATTCTAAGTATTTCAAAGCTTGAAATAAGGGGAAACAAAGGAAATTTATTTATTTTGCCTTATTTATAAAAATTAACAGAAAAATAAATATAGCTTAAATCTTAATTATTTGAATTTTTATTTTACAAACTAAGATCTAGGAAACATCTTTTTTTAGACACAAACAAAACTTAGGCATAAATAATAAAAAATAGGTTCATATATTATGTATTTTTTTTTAAAAATATAATTTCTTTAAGATGTTAAAATTAATATTCCAATACATTGCTCTGAAATTGAAATGATGTTCCTACAAGAAATGTAATATTTTATAAAGTTTCTGAAATTTATCATTTCATAATATTGTAATGAAACTAAAATAAACTGAATTCAATTGTTCAATTCCAAAATATAATGGAATTATACTTTTGAACACTAAAAATAGTAACTTATCCAGTAATCCGTTTTTAAATATTTAAAAATAAAATTAAATACCTCTTCTCTAACTCTTTTGTATACATGTTCTAATTCTTGATTTCTATTTTTGAGTTCATCAGTATTGGTTTTAGATAGTAATTCTAATGTAGAAATTTTAGCGTTTTTGTCAACAATACATCTGTTTAGCTGTTGTATATCTTCTTTTAAAGATTTTTCTACATTTCTGGAAGTTTCTGTAGAGTAATACAAATACAATTATTTATTTATATTATATATTATATATTTATATTATAATATTCAAAGCTAACCTGTTATTTTTTTATGTTCATTTAACAGTTCCAAGTTTTTATTATGAACATTTCCTAGTTCGGCTTTTAACTGCTTTATTTCTTTGTCATGTTGTAATATAACTTGACCTTTTTCTTTTCTTAATTGATAAATACTTTGTTGATAGCTACAAATTTCTTCATTTAGTTTTTTTACATCATCATTTATATTTTTAAATTGATCACATTTAGTCCTTAGAAAATCTATTTCTTGTATTAAAACTTCATTTGCTTTTCTCAACTCATCTTCTTGATTCAAGAATTCTAACAGCTTGTCATCTTTAGATTTCAATTCAATTAACATTGACTCACACTCGCTGTCTAAATTGTTATTTTGACGTTTAAGTTCTTCCAATTCTTCTTCTAAGCATTCACATTTAGTTATCTGAGATTGAATATCTTCAACAAGAACAGATAAATCAGCACTAGATTTTAATATTTTCCTTAACTTATTTGTGATCTCATTTAGTTCAATGAGATCACTATCTTTGATTTTAGACTTCATTTGATAATTTTCTATTTGATCTTCTTTAAACTTAATTGTTTGATGACAATTTTCTAATTGATTTTCAAGTAAACTTATTTTTATTGTGTATGTTTCAATTTCTTTAGCAAGCAAAGAACATTGATCCACAGTTTTATCTAGTTTAGTCTTCAATTCTAATTCAGTAATTTCTTTTATTTTATTTTCAGTTTTAAGATTATGAACATCATGTTCAAGTTCAGCAACTTTATTATTTATAGTATTATCATTTATTGGTAAATTTTGAATTTTCTGTGAGAGTAATTTATTTTCTTCAAGAAGTTGATTATAATTTTTAGTTGCTTCTTTAAGTAATTTTTCAGTGTTGTATAATTTTTGCGTTTTGTCATTTAACTCTAATTGTAGTTCATCAATATTTTTACTATTCATATTCAAAATTTCTTCTCGTTGTATACTGTTTTTTTCACATAATGCTTCATATTCCTTAGATTTCAACTGAAGATCTTCCACCAAAGTTTTTATATCATTTTCTTTTTGTTCTAAAACAGATTTGAGACAAATGGCTTCTAATTGGGCTTCTTTCAATTTGTTTTCTAAAACAGTATAATAATTTTTTTGATCTTTATACAAGCTACAAGATTCATTATACATACTAGTAAGATCTTCAACTTTTTTTTCAAGATCATTCATAGTTTTTTCTGTGTTTAATTTGAAAAATTCAAATTCATCAGATAAAATTTGGTAATTTTGTTTATTTGTATTATTTATATGAGCTTTTAGTTCATTCAGTTCATTAAAATAGTTCAAAGATTGCGTTTCAGCTTTAATAGCTCTTTCTTTTAATTCTTTATTTTCAGTTTCTTTACTAGGATAACTGTGTTTTTGAGATTTCAACTCCTCTAATTCTAAGCTTAATTTTTCATTATCAGATTCTACTTGTTCTTGCCATTCTTTTGCTTTTTTAATGTCTTCTTGAAGTTGTTTTATTTCATCTTCATATTGTTGTTTTATTTTTTTATGTTCACTAATTAAATCAGAAACAATCTGTTGTTCTTTGGTCATAATTAGACTAACAAATGTATCTAATAAGTCTGTTAAATTGTGGTGTGTTAGAATTCCTGTAATCTTTCCTGGTTCAAGAAGATTAATTTCATTAACAATATTTTTCTTTCCATTTCGTAATTCTAAATCTATGTCTAAATTCTGATGAATTTGATCTTTTAAAGTTAGATTGAGGTTTTCTAATTCAGCATACTGTTGTTTTAATTGTTCTAAAGTAACATTCAAATTTTCTACTTCACAACATTTTTCTTTTAAATTATTTTCTAATAAAGACAGTTTTTCATCTGATTCCTTATTTGTTTTATTTATATATTCTATTTTATCCTGAAGATCACACATATTTTTTTCTAGATCAATATTAGTTTTTTGAAGCGAGCTAACTAAATTCATTTTGTCTTCTAAAACTTTACGTAAAGTTTCAATTTCTAAATCAATTTCTTCAACTGGTGTTCCTGGTTGAATTTCACAGTTAAGTTTCCAAGAAGCATCGTCTAATGTAGAAATATCATCTTCTAATAACATACGCTTTGTTCTTAATTGTTTCTCGCATTTATTTCCCGATATCATGGCAGAATTTAATTCCGTAAGTTTCAATTTAATTTCATGCACATAATCAACAAGAGGATCAATTAATTGATTTCTTGTATCAGCTTCATTACAAATTTTTTGTTCGTTTATATTTGACATAAGAGTTTGTAATTCATTACGTACATCATTAATCTCAGAGCATTTTATACTAAGTTCTTTATTTAAACAGTTTAATTCAATATTAAGATTTTCGATTGTACTTTTAGATTTTACCAAACTTTTCTCTGAATCACTTACCTTGCACAAAAGTTTTTCACGACTATCTAATAATTCTTCTACTTTATTTTCTAGAATTTTAATTTGCTCTTTAGCAACATTAAGTTCATCAGTAGTGTTTATTAGCACTTCTTTAACCTTATTCAAATTTAATCTTAATTCTGTTTTTTCATCAATTAATAATTTTTCAGTTTCCTGCTTTTTCTCTAGTTCTAATTTCATTGAATCCATTTCATCATTTAATGCTACTAAAACATTATCTTCAAAATCATCAACTCTGTTGAGGAATGAATCATTTCTAGAACATAAAAATTCTAAATTTTTCTTGTATTCATTTAGTTCTTTACATTTTGTCTGGTATTTGTCTTGTAGAATTTGTTCATTTTCATTTTTTTTTAATAAAAGCGCCTCAAAAGTTTCTAATTTACTTTGAGTTTCAGTAATATCACGTGACTTAGATACATACTCTTCTTCTAATCTTTCATATTCTAGTTGCAGGGTTGATTCCATTAACTGTTTTTGTAAATCTGCAATTTCTCCTGTTTTAACAACAATTTCTTCTCTCAAATTTGATTCAATATCAATTTTACTAGCTAAAAATAATTCTATGTTATTAGACAATTCTATAAAATCATTAATTAATTTTTGGTTATTGGCAGTTTGCAGCTGTAATTTTATATCAGAATGCTGTTTTTCAAAATAATATTGTTTTGACATATCAAATAGTTTTTCATTGGTATGATTTAATTCCTTTTGAAGATCAGTTATTTGATTAGTTAAAATTATAAATTTACTTTGTAAATGTTCACAATTACAATGAATTTTTTTAATGTTTATTAGTTCTTGTTCCAAATGTTTACATTCGACTTCGAAAGCTAATTTTTCACAGTTAACACGGTTCACTTCATTAGTTTTAGATTGTAGTTTTAATTTAGTGTCATCTAATTCAGCTACTATGTTTGATTTTTCTAAAATTTCAGATTGCAATTTTTGGTTTAATTTCTCAAATGAAATAATATTTGCTTGGATTTCATTTTCCATACTTTCTATTAATGTTTGAACTTCATTTTCTTTAGCAAAAGCTTCATCTAAATCAATTGTCTTTGCTTGTAATTGACTTTGAAGTGAGTGATTTTTACTTTTTTCGGTTTCTATGTCTACTTTTAAATCAGTAATAATATTGTTTAATTGATTAAATTGTTCTATGTATTTGTCAATTTCAGATTTTAAGTTATCGTAATCAGCAAGCAAAGATGATTTTTCAGCAAGTTCAATATTTAATTGTTCAATAACAATTTTGTAGTCAGAGGCAATTTCTTTTTCATTTATAGTTGATTGAATTTCAGTATATTTTGAACAAATATCTTCTAACTCATTAGACTTATGTAATAAATTGTTTCGTAAGTCACTTTCAATTATTAATTTAGCTTCTAAATCTGACTTCAATTCATCGATAATAGAAGTAAGCTGATTAATCTGTTCTAAATTATTGCATTTTTCAAGCAAGTTTGAATTGGTGCTTTCCAATGTAGATATTAAGTTATTTTTTTCATTTAATTCAATTTTAACAATTTCAAACTCTGATTTCAACTTTTCTATATTTAAAACATAACTATTACACTTATTGTTCAAACTGTCTATTAAGTTTTTAACATCATATAATTTTGAATGAGCTTTCTCAAGTTCAAGAGATATACTTTGCAACTCACACTTTACATTATTTTCATAAGACATATATGCTTCTAATTCTGTTTTAAGGGTATCAATTATTTTGAAAGGCTGTTCAATTTTTTCTGAAGATACATCAGGATTTTTTGTTTTGGATTTGTATACACTATTTTCTGATTCAATATAACTTGACTGTAGTATTTGATGATAAATATCTTCAATTATTTCTTCGATCATAGATTGAGACTCGTTTATGCGAGTTAAAGAATTATCAAATTTATTAGATTCATCATCAAATTCAGTAAGAACAAAAATATTAGAATGATTATGAACTGATTCAGAGCTATTTAAGTTTTTATCTAATCCTTCATTTAAACTATTTTCTCTTGAAAGATACGATTTTGATTCATCCAGAATATTACAATTCTTAGATAAAGATTCATTACTTTCACCCTCAATATTTAATGAATTTAAATCTGATTTGTTTATCAATAGTTGGATAGAATTTTGCATTTCCTTAATTTTATACAGAGCACTTTCAAATTTTGAAGATTTAGATGATAAATAATTTTTAAGCCAATTTACAATTTCAGGATTGTCAATTGATTCATAATTTACTTTGGTGTTTGATTGAATTATTTCTTTTATATCTTCACACTTAATTAACAACTGATTTTTGCATTTTTCATGTGCAGTTATTATATCTAGTTTATCTTCTAGTTTAATTTTTAATTCTTGAACTTCGTTTTTTAATTTTTTAGTAACTAAATCAGAGTTTGATTGAATCTCATTAAGTTTACACAATGTATCCTCTAAATTTTTGGATACAATATCCAGTTTTGTACTTTTGTTATTAGTAACATTCATTTCTTTTTGTAAAGATTCATTGAGATCCATATTTATTAGTTTTAAATTTTTATTTTGAGTTTCCAGTTCATTGTTAATAGCCTTATATGAATTAAACTCTTCTTGGATCGATTCCATTTTGGAAAATTTAATTTTAAATAGCTCAACAAGGTTATCTATGGTTAAATCATCAAATGTTTCAATAAATGATAACAAGAGTACATTTTTTTCTTTAAAGTCATCTGTACAATCATTATTTGACCTAATTTCAAATAATGAAATATCTTTAAGGAAACTATCTAGATTTTCTGAAACCACAGTTCTAATTAATGTAATTTTTTCATATGTTTTAGCAAGCTCTTCTTTTATTTTTAAATTTTCATTGGAGAGATTTAAAATATTATTAGTTAGGCTTTCAAAATGTGTATCTGTAAATTTAATTAAATTGTTCACATCTACAAGTTTTTCAACTTCAATATAATGTAACTGATTACAATTTTTTTTTATGATAGATTTTATATTCATTTCAATTGTATTAAGTTCGGATTGTAAATTACAATTTTCATTTTTAAGTTCTGAAATTATTCTTAAATTTTCAGAATTTAGTGATTTGAAATTATTGTTTTCATCTATCAGAGTATAATTTTCTAGTTGTAGTTGATTAAGAGCATGATGAGATTCTCCTAAAAGAAGATCCAACTCGCATATTTCTTTCTTTTTCAATACACAATATTCATGATCAGCTAAAAATTGTATAGCAAATTGAAGTGATTTTATATCTGTTATATGTTTCTGGGCTTCAGATAATTTATTTTCAAGAGCTAAATTTTGGGATAATTCAACTTTTAATTGTGTATCTTTTTCAGATAATTTTGATTTGATAATTTCAAATTCATTTATATAATTAGTATGTTGTTGTGACATATCTTTAATTTTCATCTCAAGTCTTTTGATTTCTTCATATTTTTCAGTCATATCAGAGTTATTAGCAATGAATTTTTTTAATTGATCATCTTTCATTAAAAGTTCCTCTCTTATTTCCTATAAATTTAATAGTAAAATAAAATAATTGTATAGTTTAAGCATTATTTTATAAAATAATTTAATAAAATTATATACAACCATTAGACCTATTTATTAAAACATTATTTTATAAAAGTATACATGTGGGACAGTTCATTACATCTTATAATATGTGAAATATACCTACATCTATATAAATTAAAATGACTAAAAAATAAGCGGTAATACATGGGCTACTAGATGTTTTTTAAGTATCCCAAGGATGCTATAGGAATAGTAATGTGTTTTTTAAATAATATATTATAAATTTTTTTGTCAACTAGGCACTAATAAGTTCAATAAGTATAACTTCGAGGTTCAGTGCAAAAAATAACTATTGAGAAAAAAAAAAAAAATTGGACATTTTTTCATTAGCATTTTACATTCTATAAACATTTACTTGTTTTTTAAAATATACTATTTGGATTAAGGTTTATTAATACAAAAGGTAAATGAAAGTCAAATTTAAAATTTTTTTCTTTTATACATAGGAAATTAATAAAATAAATAATAGTATTGATTAAAAAAAAAAAAAAAAAACTCTAATATATTGTTTTATACACTGGAAATAACTAATATAATTTAAAATAATATAAATTCATTTTAAGTGAATTTTTCTCATAGAATTAAAAAGTATTTAAACCTTTATACTTTTTGTACAGTAATAAATTCTATATTTAAACCCAACATACCTTAATTATATTTAAAAGTTCTTTTTCTCGGTTTTCATACTTTTCTTTTTGTACTTCAGCAACAACTTCAATGTCTCTTTTTTCATTTTCAATTCTTGTAACTGATATTCTGAGTTTTTCTATGATCTCAGAAGAAGCATCTCTTTCAGCTTGTAATTCTTCAATTTGTTTTTTCAAGTTTTTCAAATCTTTAAGTTGCTCATTCTTTGGTAAAATTTAATAAATTATTATTATTATTATTATTAATATAACAAAACTTACGTTTTCATGGAACATTTGCTTTTCTAATGTAGTAAATTCTCTAAGTTCATTATTTTCCCTCATACTCATTTCAAATAAACTTTTATAATTGTTAACACGTTCCCTTAAAATTTTTCTTGGAGTTTCACAAACACCAGGGGGTCTAAAAAAAAAAATTAAAAACTAATTAAATCAAAAAAATTATTTAAATTTAATTTCACGTCTTCAAACTTACGGAGATATACTACTGATTTCAGTATTACTAATAGAAGGATCCTGGTCTATAACTATTTTACAATCTTCTTCCCTTATTAAATCCCATTCAAATGGTTCCAAAGGAGTTTTAAAAGTCTCTAAATTAATATGTAACATTTACATAAAAATTAAAAAAAATAATAATTTTTTTTTTAAATGTAATCAATTAATGATTATTACCTTTATTTGTAACTCCAAAGTTTGAAGGTACACTAGGACGTGGTAAATTAACATCTTCTTCAATAGTTTCAAGAATGCTATTAGAAGATAATGTACTGTCAAGTTTTCCACCCCATGTGCGTCTACGGTTAAAGCCTCTCTAAAATTAAATTTATGTCATTAAAAAATGTAATAATATACAGTACATAATTAATATATTACTGTACATTAACATAGTACATTTAAATATCATGTAAAATGTGAAAGAATCAAGTGTTTTAGTTTATTTTTAAAAAAAAACTTCTTTCTTAATTCGCCTATAATTTATAATAATATGACATTTATAACATTTCAATATTTTAAAATATTTCTTAGGTATCATTTAGAAATAAAATAAAAAATATCAAGTTTTCATGAAGTTTAAAGAATTTGAAACAAATAAAATTAGTAGTCTTATTTTAATTTAAATAAAGTTAAATTCTAGCGTTGTAGAGTGGAGGCATTATTTTAGATTAGCAATGAACTAAAATTACTGTCATAAAATTTTTTCATAACTATTTGAAAAAAAATTAAAATTTTTTTTATCATATTTACCAAAAATTACATGATTTTTAACTGAAGAGATCAATTACTCATAGAAGACAAATCATTTGAATTTTATTCATTTTTTAATTATAAAATATATTGAACAAACTTTAATTTGAAATGGTAAATAAAAAATGGTACAAATATTTCATTAATATGCTAAAAACTACAAAATCAACAATTATAATGAAAATTGTATGATTTTAATGTCCGATAACTCCTAAAAATCTATATTTTGGACAGTTTTTTCTATTTATATTTTAAAGTGAATTTTATTAACTTTAATTTTAGATAATTTAAAAGAAGTACAGTAGAGTCTTGCTAATCCAGACAATTTATATTTGTACTTTAATACTCCTTTATAATGTATCTATACATACACATAAATATTATTTATATCAATGTTGATTGTATAACATAATTATGTTATACAATTATTGTAGGTACATATATGTAGGTACCTCTACGAAATATTCGGTAATACCCATGATTAAGATATGGTATTTTCGATTACATATTGTGATATTGTTTCGTTTAGTGGTGATTGTGTATTCATGTCGACCGTTACGTTTATTTTTTCCTCCGCTTATTTTAAAAACAGTGTAACAACTTCGGTTAAACGTAAGAGAGTGATAGTAGCTATGGAACAAAAACTCCAAGCTTTATTACGTATTGATGCTGGTGAATCACTAACAAAAATCGCACAAGAGTTAGGAGTGGGTAAACAAACCGTTTCTGATTGAAAGAAAAATCGAGTAGAAATTGAAAATTTTTGTGCCAAAATGGTGAGCGTGGACAGTTTAGGTAACAGACGCACGTTAAGAAAACCAAAAAACGAAGCTTTGTACATTTGGTTTTGTCAACAATGTGAACAGGCCTTCCGTTGTCGGGTATAATGTTACAAGCTATCGCGATTAAATTTTTTAAAGAAAAATTGAAAGGAGATCCTACATTTACTACTAGTGTAGGATGGTTGTTACGGTGGAAAATCAACATGGCATTGGTGAACTTGGTGTAAGTGGTGAAATTTGATCAGGTGATAATGTTGCAAGTGAAGACTTCAATAACAAATTTGAAAAGTTTGTTAGCGATCAAAACCTAATACCTTGTCAAATATTTAATGCTGACGAAAGTGGGTTGAACTACAAAATGATCCAAAAAAAAAACATTAGGTTCAAAACTTGATTCTGTAGCCAAAGGTCGCAAAGTGAAAAATGAATGAATAACTTTACTTCCTTGCAGTAACGCTTCTGGTGATTTAAAATTTCCACTTTTGGTGATCGAAAATCAACTAAGCCTAGAGCTTTCAAAAACGTTACTATGAGTGCACTTCCAGCTTAATACACTTCACAAAAATCTGCTTTGATGAACGGAAACATTTAAAAAAAAATGGTTTTTTGAGAAATTTGTGCCTACAACAAGGGAATTTTTGAAACAGAAAAAACTTCCAGAAAAAGCTGTATTGCTTATAGACAACGCTTTGTGTCACCCTAGTGAAAATAAATTACGAGATGGTGAAATTTTTATGATATTTTTGCCGCCTAACGTGACGACATTGATACAATAAATGAATCAAGGTGTGATTGAAACGACAAAATGGCTTTACAGAAAAAAGTTGATCATGTTTCTTTTAGAGCAACAAGAAGTGAACCCGTTAGTTAACTTTATGGATTTTTTTAAAAAAAGTAACAATAAAAACTGTTCTTTATTTAGTTGCAGAAGCGTGGGAAAAAATTAAGCCAGAAACACTTCAAAAAAGTTGGACAAAATTGTGGCCTAATATTCCTCCAGAAAACTATGGACAAAATGAAACAACTTCTAATGAGGACATTGATTTCATTCAAGTTTTTAGAGAGTTGAAAGTTTGTGCCGACGTGGAAAAAAATGATATTTCTGAATGGATAAACAGTGACACCGATGTTGGTCATCATGTTCTTAGTGAAGATGACATCGTAAATGCATGTATTGAAAACACAAAAATTGACAGTTCAGAAAATGAAGATAATAGTACAGATCAATTAACAGGCCCGACACATGGTGAAGCCAGTGCAATGCTGGAGCAGTTGATGACTTACTTTGAGACACAAAGTTAAACAACTTCTGTTGAGCTATTAACTTTAAGACATCGCACTGCGAAAGTACTTTATTTTTCATTAATACAAAACAATATGACGGATTGTTTCAAGTGAGTCCATCCAGTCTTATTTTTTTTTTTTTAAATTTCAATAAATTTGTATTGTTTATGACCACTTAATAATAATAAAATTATGTAATGTAAAATTGTAAATAAAATTAATTTTGAATTTGTATAAAGACATAAGATGTTTTTTGTAAATATATATATGTGGGAAATGCAAACAGACAATTACAGGAACAGAGCAAAGACGCAATACTATTATTTAATTTATATATATATATATAAATTAATACACAAAAACTCTATTAAATGTTAACAAACAAAAATAACACATATATTTAATTACACACGAAAACTCTATATAAAATATTCACACAACACAAAAATATTATATAAAACAGAACACACATATAAAATAAAGAATATACATAGAGATACGTCTTAGACGACTCACGATTTGACTTAATTTTCCCTTCTTATAATACTTGATACCACTATCTATCTCCAGACCCTGGAAGTGGTGCCATCTAGATACCAATGGTACCCACAAATATTAGTAAGTTAAAAAAACGTTCTTCCGTTTAATCCGGATTACCGATAATCCGGCTAGAGTTCAGTCCCATCTAGTCCGGATTAGCGAGACTCTACTGTACATCTTTTTGGAACATTATAAAATATTGAAATAAATTTGATTTCATAGTTATTTTGTTTCCAAGTACATTGGTCAATGATTTGATACATTTTTAAAAAATTTATGTTGAAAATACGATACTTAAATACCATTACTGAAAATTGTATTTTAAAACTATCAAATATATCAAAAACGATATGATTATCTACTTTAGAGGCCTATTACTCATAGAACACACATTGTCGGAATGTATTTCATTCCGATTCAATTTATACATTAAATAATATATTATTAAATATATAGAATATGAAAAAATGACTTAAGCAAATTTGCTTGAAAATATTAACATTTTGCTTGATTTTGGTAATAATTATTAGCCTTTTTCAACAAGATTTTATAATAATACAGAGTTTTTTTTTTTGTAAAATTGTGCTTTTAGTGATTTTTAGGCACTTAGCTAAAGGCCTAGATGAAGGGTTACACCTATCATAAATTTAAAATTCTAAAATTACTCTAGTTTGGGACCTCTCTTCAATACAAAATATAGTTATTTTTAAAGTTACTAATACTAGAAATTATGTACATTTAAGTAAATTTAAAGAATATTGTATATTAAAAATTTTTAATTTTAAGAATAATTAGAATATACTTAAAATGAATCTCTGTATAGGATTTTACTCATAAGAAACAGTGTGAAGGAAAAGCCTCTAAAGTTTTCATTGGACACAAATTATGTAAGATTATAAAAAGAGCTATTTAAAGTTGTAAATAAAAAAGTTGACTCAAGCTTGAAAATTTTAAAGGCTAAAATATTTCTTAATATCATTTCTTGTTAATCACCAAAGTTAGGCAAATTGGCTAATTTGACTTAATTAATACTATCATAATTTTTATGTTTTTTCATTATATTTTTAAAAAGTACATAAAGGACACAAAGCAAAAATTGATAATATAAATATTAAATAAAGTAATAAATTTTGATAAAATAAATGAATAGTTTCAAAAATAATTATTATGTGTATTCAAACTTTTAGTTTGTGATATATATATGGAAAACAAAAGAATTACTTTTAATTGAGGTTGATCTTTAGTTATTACTGATGAAGTTATCATATTTTTTTGTAAACGCATGATACGTTCTTTGAGTTCTTCATTTGTCCGTTTTTCTTCTTGATATTTGTATTTTATTTCATTTACTTCATCATTTTCATTCTGGTTTTGTTTCATTCCTTCTAACTCTTTATTAAGTTTAGAAATTTGAATTCTGTATCGTCTTAGAAGAGTTTCGTCTGACACATTTTCATTAACTTTAGCAGAATTTTTAATTTTTTTTGCTCTTGAAGCAAAACTGTTTAAAAATGTATTTATTTTTTATTAAGTCTAAATTTGTTGAAATAATAATTAATACCTTAATGTATTGAGTGTTTGATCTTCAACAGCTAAAGTAATTGTACATATAATAGCTGTTAATGAATTTCCCCCAAGTGAAGTTTGGAGTATTCTAGTTAATTTACTATCCCGAAAATTAACATGTTGAGAACTTAAACAGATTTTTTTTATTAGTATTACAATATGAAACATTCAAAATAATGTAAATTACCCATCTTGACATTCACTGAGTTGTTGAATGACTAGACCTAAAGTTGTTAATGAACTATTTATTTTACAGCCTTCTTTGAACCTTTCAATAGATGGTTGTGTTTGACTCGTTTTTTCTGATCCAGCTAAATCAACTAAATTTATAACTGATTGTTGGTACGCACCATCACAATCATCTTCAATGTTGCGACTTTCTAATATCTAGCAAGTCAAATTAACTAGTTAAAGTAATTATGTTTATTTGAATAGTAATCAGAGTAGGTGTACTTCAAGACATGGCCAAATTAAAAAATTTAAAGAAAAACAATTGCATAATTAAAGTGTTAACACCAAAAAGATACTGGGTTATAATAACTTAATTTTTCAAGAGTAGGAAAAAAATGTTTATTTGAACCTTGTGGACTTATGACAACAATTAAATATTACTAAACCTGTTATCTTAAAAATATTATCATGATTTTACTTTATTTTGTAGCAATCATAAGTAAAAAATTTCTATTTATTTTTTAATTTATACAAAAACGATATATATTTAAAAATGTCCAATGGTAGTAGATAAAACATAGTTTTGATTATTACAACTAAATAATCATATTATTATTTCAAATTAAATTATTTATTAAGCCAATAACCCTAGCAAGCTAGGCTTTATTCATTTAAAAGAAAAAAAAATTACTTACTATACGAAATATAGTATGAGATCTTGATGATCGTTCATTCATGTTAGTTTCACCAATACTACGATTTTTTTCACCAATTTTCATTAAATCAATCACCTGAAATATTTGAAAATATGCACTTAAAAAAGTTTTCTATTAAAAAATGTAATAATTGTATTATTGTTTACAATTATTTAAAAAGAAAATGCGAATAATATTTTTAACTTTTCAATAATATTTATTAATTACCATTTGAGCATTTTGACAAACAACAGCTTTTAATGGAGTTATATGTAACCCATCTTTTTGAATCTCTATTTTTCTTGTTTGTGTTTTTAGATCTTTTTTCTCCAATAAATCTATTATTTTTTCATTGTAAATTTCTAAATAGCTAACCCTAAAATTATTTGTGAGAGTTAAACATATAATTTTGTTATTTTTATAGAGGTATAATAAGCATAATAATTTAGTTACTGGATAAAGATTTATCTAGAGATTTTATAATAAAAACTGTTTTCCCAACATAGATTTTTACACATTATGCTTTACTACTATTACATTTTTTAAATAATTTTAATATGACTGTAAGGAATTAACAGCCGGTCATAGAAAATATACCAAAAATAATGTGAAAAAAAGAAGTACAATATGGAATGGAAATCTATGATCCTAAGTGTCATAGAGACAAACCTTACCATTAGGCCACCCTGCATTTATGATTCAGATACCGATACACTTTATATAGATTGATAACATGATTTGCGGCTGAAAGAAGCACAGTACTATGTCAATTCTCATAAATAAATAAAAATAAAAATAGGGAACATGTATAAAACCAATAATTAATTTCTAAATAATTGTATTAATGCTTTAATGGAAGGTCATCTATAACAATGTTAAGCTTATAGACTACAAATTTTAGAAAATGATTCTGATTGCACTCTATAAAATCTATATCTATTCTAGTATATGTACTCCAGATAAAGGAACTATATTTCACATTTTTTATTTTAGAAAAAAGTTAGCAAAGAAAAAATATAAAAGCAGATATATTAAGAAATAAATTTTAATGGGAAAAAAGTATAAAAGAAAAGCAATTAAGAAATTACCTTAATAAATATTCTCTGCTAGAAGTGCTATTCATGGCGTCAAACATATAATTAACAGCTAATGGAATTATCCCAGGGCTCCAACTATCACCAGACATGGTAAAAGTTTTTCCCGAAGATGTTTGTCCATATGCAAACACAGTACCATTAAATCCTTGAACACCTCTATCAATTATTGGTCTGACAATTTCATCAAACACGTCATAGTTACTTATTTCAGGATCATAAACTCTATCTGTTGAAAAAAGTTTAATTTTAAACACAAGTGTATAGTACATTTATAGTTTTAAGGGATAAGGAAAAAATTATATTTTTAAAAAAAACAAACTTAATAGAATATGATTCTTTTAACATACAAAATTAATGAAACAGCTTTTTAATAAAAGAAATGTCCATATTACCAAAATTAAACTGATCTCCTTTTCTTTTCTCTGTAATGGGATCAATTTGTACAATACTATTGGATTCTATTTTCCAATAAATCCTTCCATCTAATTGCTCCTTATGGTTTAATGGCCGAGCTTTGATGACTACTTTTATGTTACAATTATCCATAGTGTTTAAGTTTTAAAACTTGTTCAATTGTATCCATAAAGTTAAAACAGTAAATAAAACATGATTTGAAATTGATATTTGAATACTGAAGTAAATATTGGATATCTTTTAAAAATTGAACATTAATTGTAACTACACATACTTCTCTAAGGAAAAGTTTAAGGATGATATTTGATTTTAAAATATATATTACTGTTACTTCATTTTATGTTATTGCAACACTACAGCTATTTTATTAGTAAACGGTTAAAACATTTGATTTTAAATAAAAGTAATTACAATAACATATAACCATAGTTCCGTTGATTTAGTTGAATTTAAATTAATTCAGTATCGCCAACTTAAAATTATTTCTTACTAATTTTTTGTCTGTGACATATTTTAGGTTAGGTTCTTATCAATTTTCTACAAATTGTTGAGTTCCCAAACAACCACAGATAAGAAAACAATAACGTTTCATAACATTGTAAATTTACGTTAATTTAATTTAATTTTAACTTAATACGTAATTACTATAATTATATGTGGACATATAAATAATTAAAAATAGTAAAATGTTTGACTTCTTTTAGGATGGTGGATATTTGCGACATTAATCAGTGAAGATCCACGGTCTATATAATTATATTATAAATTCACACCAGTGATAAGAAGAGTTTGCAGTTTAGTTTATTATCTATACCTGAATATACAAAAAACATAAGTTGTGCTATGTCTATAGACTTGTATCACAGAAAAGGCTATTTAAGTACCTATTCATTGCTTATTTCACAGATTAGAGATGACAACTTGTTATCAATCTGATAACTGTTACCATCTGTTATGGTTACTTTCAAAATATAAGATACTAACTCCGGCTCCCTTTCAATACGAATAAATCTTTCGCCTTTTACTAAAGATTTCCGTGGCGGGGAGCATTCAAAGGAGTCTAGATTTACAATTTTTTTAACAATGGTTACTTTCAAAATATAAGATACTGTTATTTTCTTAATAAAATGTTATCTTTGTATAAAACTCTTAATAATGGGTCACGGGGATTGCCACAAACTGATAATGCTCAGACATGATAAAAAAATCCTCCAAATACATTTACTCCGACAACAATTACTGCGAATACCTGGTTATAAAAATTGGCATTTTACTGCGACGATGATTACTCCGAATAGGACAATCAATTGATTGCTCCCATAGATCTTGTAAACACAGATAGGACATTCGTCCTACTGATATAGTCTTCACTGATAAAGCATAATGCCCTATCCATGTTTAAAAGATATATATTTACTACGAATATCGATATTTCATGAAATCGATTGAACAATTATCAAATTTCGGAGTAGATGAATATCGTACCAATATATTATCCGATGGAAAAAGATAACCCTTATCACTAATTATTTTATATTAATTATTATAATTAAAAAGTGTTATAATTGATTACTGTCTATTAACGAATAATCATAATAAAGACACTCGAATTGCATCCGATTTTCGATACGATAGGTTCATTAAGGTAACGAAGGGAGCTTTAAACTAAAACAACCCCATTTGTATAATTGGTGTAAGCCCTTAAAAAGTATTTTTTTGAAGGAGGAAGAAGAGCGATTCCAAATTTCAGACTTAAAATCTTTTTTGTCTCTCCTATTAGTGCCCATTATTATAACTTTTAATTAGTTATAGTTTTTCATTTGTTAATTGGTAAAAAAAAATATAGGTGTGCATGTCACTGATGGATAGGATTCGTCATTAAACAGATCTTTTATAAAAGTAATCGGTATCCCATTCTCTTAAACTGTCATTCCAATTAGTGTCGTATAAAATCAAACAAAAATATGATTTAATATCATTTCATTGTTTAAAGGTGAACAAGGAAATTAATTAAGTCCAATTTGGATTCGATCTTTTGATTGGCCACAATCTGAAGAGACCTGAGGGAGCTTAGTCTCCTAAATTTCTGCCATAAAATATACCGCGAAAATTAATTAATTTGTATTTCTTGTTGTATAGAAATATTTTTTTCGATTAGGTAAAAAATTATGTAAATTAGAGTTCCCAAATATTTTGTTACAATACTCGGACACTGGTCAATTTAAGTAAACGCAAGACAGTTATAAGTTAACAGTCGCCAATAGTTTATGATAAATCATAAATTTACTTAACTCTTCTGTTAAGATAATTAGTTATAAAATTAACTAATTCGAGTTGAAAATATGCAGTTGATTCAGTAAAAAATGGTTGAGTATGTTGAGTATTTGTATGTGGATTACCTGAAGTTTTGTCAGTTGTACGCATAGAGTTAAATATTTTAATTTATAATCATAACTGGTAATCAAACAATTATTAATTTTTCCTCATTAAATGGAAATAAAATATAATAATGTAATATTAAAAATTTTATATATAAANTCAAACAATTATTAATTTTTCCTCATTAAATGGAAATAAAATATAATAATGTAATATTAAAAATTTTATATATAAAATTATATATATATATAAAATTTGGCATTACATTTTCACAAAATATAGTATATTACATTATTATACATATAATGAATTAAAACATTTACCCTTTTGTATAAATATATTTTATAACTATAACTTTTCAATGAATTAATTCGTGACAATGCTATTTTTGTGTGAAAATTCTCGATTTTATTTTTTACATTTTTAACTTTATAATGCTATAAATTATTGAAAAGTGTATGGATCAACACAATTTTTTATGAGAAATAATATTTTTTAATAATCCATTTTTCATTCGACATACTTTATCTTAATCAGGATATTAATAAGGAACTAGCAGATCATGTAGCTTTTGGAATAATACACCAATTTTTTAAAATTGAACACTATCTAAAGATTTGCATCGAAGCGTTTTATTTTGATAGTGATTTTAATCACTGTCAGATATCATTATACTTGATCCAACTGTGCTGCGACCCCCTGCGCTGGGTTTTTTTTTTCTACCCCCGGCATAATGTGGACCGCTCTAGAACTTCCGTTAGGTATTGCTTCAGGGCAGCCCACGCTGTTTATAAACCTCACACCGCCGTGTTGTGACTCAGCCCGAAATTAATCAAGAGCTGAGTCAAAACACGACGTGGCCTCCCCCGTTATCCGGACCCCAGAATGGGGTCCGTTGCCCAGGCCGCACCACGTGGAGATGGGGGTAGGACTTTGCTAAGTGGAAAACGAAACACATATAAACAAACAGACATAAACACTGAAAACGAAACGACCTGGTAAGTCAGGCCTATTTTGTTTTTCTGGGACGAACCTTTGACAGGTGAACCACCCTGTACATGCCCCCGCTCCAATAACGCTTTCGCGTAAGCCGAGCAATGACCGCTACCCGGGTGTTGCGCTGAGCCTCCGGGCCGCCTCTCACAAAGCACACAGTGTGGTGGAGCCGTGCAATTGCTCACACGGTGATCCGTCGCTCCGCATGACAAGCAAAGGGACGATCTGTTAGGTCCATTGTATTCCCGAGCGAAGTGGCCATACCCATGTCATCGGAAGCACCGCTCTAGGCGAAACCGGAGTCTCACCTGGCAGCGCACCAGGCCAACGAGCACCCGTCCTACTCGGTCTAAATGTAGTCCGAAAGCCCTCTTTGCCTAAGCGTAGGTAAGAGCTTGGCTTTAGTCGTTGGCTTTATCTCTTCATCCGTCGGGGAATGAGCTGCGAGCGGCCGCTCCCGCGCCTTCCTCCGTGATGCTACAACCGAACGGGGCCCAATCCCCTGTTGTATCGCAACCGACGAGGGGGGGTTATCGAGCTCCCGTTGCTCTCCTCGTCTCCTCCGCTTCTTCTTCTTTTTCGGTCGTAGGTCCCAACCTCGTCGCTAGCTACATCGTCATCAAAAATTCTAGCTTGTCGTTTTGCCAGGGTGACGCAAAACTCCAGACATCCCATAAATCGGCTTCTACTAATGAAGCGACCTACAGGGAAAATGTTTTCGCCGTCCTTCCTGCTGTCTATGAGTAAGTATGGTAGGCGCTCAGACCACGGTTTAATCTTTTCCCAAGTGGGATTAACCTTCCAGTCGTCGATCATAATCTCGAAGTCGACCACGTCGTCCTCCGTTAATGATCGCTTGGTGTCGACCAGAGTGAGCCCGCTACGTTGGGTCCGGTTTTGGAACCTTTCCCACTCACTCCTGCCGCCCCCTGAGGCTCCGATACCTCTGGGGGGTAACTTTGGTCTTTGAATTAGAGGCCATAAGTGATTTTTGAGGTAAATTCTAACCTGCCTTTTTACTCTACCGCCAGAGGATCTGTTTTGTTTTTATATAAAGGAACGAAGTCCGAATATATAAAATCACTCTTGAAACACTACCGCTTATACGAACGCTTAGATATCATCTTATATCACGGCTACCCTGCATATCTGCAGGGTTAACAAGGGTCCAAGAGCAGGCACGTAGCCAGAAAATGTTTATTGGAGGGGCCAACAATTTTGGGCCCTTGTATCATTTTCCATAATTTGTTTACCATGAAAAGCTTGTGGGGGGTCCCTCCACTCCTCCTTAGACAGTATCCCATTCTATGAATCTTACAAGTTCAAAATTTGTGTTTATTTTTAAAAAATTGGTGGATTATTCCAAAAGTTACATGATCTGCTATTTCCTTATTAATATCCTGATTAAGATAAAGTATGTCGAATGAAAAAGAGATTATTAAAAAATATTATTTCTCATAAAAAAATTGTGCTGATCCATACATTTTTCAAAAAGTTATAGCATTATAAAATTAAAAATGTAAAATACAAAATCGAGAATTTTTACACAAAAATAGCATTCGGTAGCCATTTTCACCATGAAGGCAAAATTAACTCCGAAATTTTTTTAAATAAAATNCGGTAGCCATTTTTATCATGAAGGCAAAATTAACTCCGAAATTTTTTTAAATAAAATAGTACAATACGTTAGCTTTAATTTAAGATATAGATAGAAGTATCAGACTTTCTGGAACATTTTAAAAATTTAAGTGAAAAAAGTTAATTTTTTGTGAAAAAGTTGTCATTTTAAATCCCCCCCGTGGGCAGGTAAAGGGTCAGATTTATAAAAAAAATATATCAAATGAAAAGTAACGATATCATACATCTATATAAAAAAGTTATGGCAATTTTTGAGGGTAATGTCTTCGACTAGATACGATTTGTGATCTTTTGACGTATTACTGAAAGAAATGGGTTCAGTGAGAGCTGAGAAAAAGTGGTAACAGACACAAAAAAAAACACACCATAGTAAAAATAATACCTTCTCAGCT